CGTTGATTATACTTAATACACCGTCATTGTACAATTTATAAATATTATTATACGGTACACACTGGATTTTATTCGAAAAATTATTACCGTTTACAGATTTTCAAAACATTTACTTGTTCTATATAATACAATAATATAGAAGTACGCGCATTAATCATACATAGTAATATTGAAAAATAAAAAATATTACCTCTGTTAAGCATAGATAACCAAAAAAAAATCTAGCTAAGATAAAGATAATTCCATAAAATATATATCTAGGTTCAAATACACATAGCTTTTTAGCTTTGATGCGAAGCTGAAAAGGTATTGGTTTTACTATGATGTGTTTTTTTTTTGTTACCACTTTTTCTCAACTCTCACCAAAACGATTTCTTTTAATGATACGTTGAAAGCTCACAAATCGTATCTATTCGAAAAAAATTCCATCGTTTCCCGTAAATGGGAGAAATCTCCAAAAAATTTACAAATTTATAAATTTGCTAATTTTCGAAATTTTTTCAAATTTTTTTTTTTAACTGCCATAACTTTTTTAAAAATAACCAAATAAATATAATTTTTTTTTATAGATGCATGATGTCTTCACTTTTCATTTGATTTATTTTTTTATAAATCTGACCCTTTACCTGCCCACCGGGAGGATTCAAAATGACAACTTTTTCACAATAAATTAACTTCTGAAAATGTTGCGAGAACTCTGACACTTTATATATATCTTAAAAAAATTTCGGACNGGAACTCTGACACTTTATATATATCAAAAAAATTTCGGACTTTATTTTATCTTCACAGTTAAAATAGTTACCGAATGCTATTTTTGTGTGAAAATTCTCGATTTTATANAGAACTCTGACACTTTATATATATCTTAAAAAAATTTCGGACTTTATTTTATCTTCACAGTTAAAATAGTTACCGAATGCTATTTTTGTGTGAAAATTCTCGATTTTATATTTTACATTTTTAACATTATAATGATATAACTTATTGAAAAGTGTATGGATCAACACAATTTTTTTATGAGAAATAATATTTTTTAATAATCCCTCTTTCATTCGACATAATTTATCTTAATCAGGATATAAATAATGAAATAACAAATCATGTAGCTTTTGTAATAATCCACCAAGTTTTTAAAATTAAACACTATCTAAAGATTTACATCTTAGCGTTTTTTTTTTTATAGTGATTTTAATCACTGTCAGATATCATTATACTTGACCCAACTATGCCACGTCACCTCTGTGCCGTGACCCCCCTGTGCTGGGTTTTTTTAAAGATATTAGCATTAAGTATACATTGATGTATCTTTACTATATACTTAATGATAATGAATAATTCATTAAATATACACTTAAGCATACCCTGGAAAAAATTTTTACTCTAGTTACCCCTATAATAAAAATTTTAAGCTAAAGTAAAATCACTCTGTTTTCAAGAAAACAACATTATGATTACTCTAGCAAGTGAAATTGACTTAAAATGTATAAAGACTAGTACTACTACCTATAATTTATAAATAAACAATCAAGTATTCATAATTAATGATTCTACGTTCACGTAATAATGCAATTGAACAAAATATATTTTTGTCAGAACATTTTGATCCATAGAAAAAATTCAATTATATTACTTTTTCATTACAGTAAAATTTTTAATTATTCAAAATCTAATCGCTTTTCTAAGGCAAAAAAACTCAAATTAATTTATAATTTTTTAAAATACGAATACTCGTTCAATAATAATATTTTTTATAAACAACCATCTAAATAGTAGTTTCTTACTTGGTTTTTTATTTTAAATCTTGTTTTGTAATTTGTAAACGGTACCAATAGGTGTAGTATGTTCATTTAACTTCAACTAAAGTAATATGTTTGGATTTGAACAATTATATGAAATAATATAGTTGCGAGGAAAAAATTAATGACCTGTATAATGTATTGTTTATTTTCAAATAGATAAAAATAAAGTTGATGTCATTATTAGAAGCGGAACGAGAAAAATTTTTTTTGGCTCTAGGAACAGAGAACTACTTATTTTAAAACATTTGCAACTATGATGACGCGTTTGTAAACACTTGATGTACAATTTTTATTAGAAAAAGAAAAAATTATTATGTGATATTTCCTATTCTATATAAAACATATACACAAAAGGACAATAATATTATTAAGAAATTTAACGATAACAAGTGGTTATCATTGGTTTTACATCATAATTCCGTGCTGTCAAAAATAGCTGAATATATACTACCGAACCGAGCGCAACAAGCGGACAATTGTGATAGAGACAGTAAATAAAAGTGTTTACTCCCAGAAATATCATAATATTGCTTGATTGTAGGTAAAAGAAAATGTCAACTAAGAAAATTAAAATAACTGATATTATAAAAATAAAAATGAGAAATATTTTATTTATCTTGATGAGTATACATTTTATCTAATATAGCATTTAAATACTGGTTTCCTTAATTACTTAGATGTGATACAAGTTTAGTATTTTTTTTCTAATTATTACTCAACATTGATTAATACACGACTTTTTTTTTATCTCATTTACTGATATATTTTATAATTTTCTACAATTTTACTATGTAAATGATCTTTAAAAACCAACACTGTCCATATTCTCTATTTTTTCACTGTTTAACTTAACAAAGTTAAAATATATACTAAGGGTCTAAATTTAAAGGAATGTATGAACCAAAATTAGGAGTTTTCGATTATAAGTCTATTTTAACCATTACACTAAATATTTTTAATGTAAAAATTATGAAGCATTAATTATATCAAAAGGCATATTTTTTTAAAGATAAAATACAATTTTTTCATAACTTCAATGAAAACTAAAAATTTAATTTTGTTCCTCTGTAAAATAAGAAACTGAATGATACGCTCTTTATTTCTAAACCTTCAACACATAAATTAACTTTTAATTTATTTTAAAATGAATTTAAATTTAATAAGTTAAAAAAGTTTCCTAGTTTTAGTTTTTAGTTATCAAACAAACGATTTCCATACACTTAACAATGAACAATGACAATGATAGATTTAAACAGTTTCACAATAGTTCCAGATATGGGTCCAATTATCAATACATTATCCGGATAATTGTGTGACTACTGTCAACTACAGAAATGGTTTTCAGACGTCTCGTTATTTTCCTTTTAGTTTTGCATTCCCATCATGGAAGTTTAAAAAATGGTAAACACCGTAGCTTAAGTATGCCTACATTACTGGACTTACTTTGACATAACTACCGTGGTTGCTATAGTGACATTCACATCAGGATGTGGTAATGCCATAAGAACACATAACTTCGTCAGATAAACTAGCCATAAGTTTAGTCTCCAATCTATTAGCATAGTTACTCTGGACAATGTTCAGACAAGGATTTATTAGGTTTAACACGCTATACCAAAGTCACACAGTAAACTAATATATTAAACTAAAAAATTGTTCAAACGCTGAGCTGTTATTTCAAATGATCAAATAAACCTCAATATAATGCAATGAAAGTTATAACAGATAAAAAATTATAATAAAAAAACCCAGCACAGGGGGGTCGCGGCACAGTGGTGACGTGGCATAGTTGGATCAAGTATAATGATATTTGACAGTGATTAAAATCACTATCAATAATAAACGCTTCGATGCAAATCTTAAATAGTGATTAATTTTAAAAAAATTGGTGTTTTATTCCAAAAGCTACTTGATCTGCTGGTTTCTTATTAATATCCTGATTAAGATAAAGTATGTCGAATGAAAAAGAGTTTATTAAAAAATATTATTTCTCATAAAAAAATTGTGTGGATCCATAAACTTTTCAATAAGTTATAGCATTATAAAGTTAAATATAATATAAATAATAAAGAATTCGAGAATTTTCACACAAAAATAGCATTTGATAGCCATTTTCGCCGTGAAGACAAGTCCAGAGGTCAAATTAAAGTATATTACATTAGCTTTAATTTAAGATATATATAAAAGTGTCAGACCTTCCGGAACATTTTCAAAAGTTATGTTGAAAAAGTAAATTTTTTGTGAAAAAGTTGTCATTTTAAATCCCCCCCTGTGGGCAGGTTAAGTGTCAGATTTACAAAAAAAATATACCAAATGATAGGTAAAGACATCAAGCATCTATAAAAAAAAAAATTATATTGATATGTTCATTTTTGAAAAAGTTACGGCAGTTTTTAGTAAAAAAAATTGAAAAAATTTCGAAAATTAGCGATTTTTAAATTTGTAATTTTTTTGGAGGTTTCCCCCATTTACGGGGAACGAGGGAAATTTTTTCAATTTTGAAGGGTAATGTCTTCGACTAGATACAATTTGTGATCTTTTGACGTATCGTTGAAAGAAATCCGTTCGGTGAGAGCTGAGAAAAAGTGGTAACAGACACAAAAAAAAAAAAAAAAACACATCATAGTAAAACCAATACCTTCTCAGCTTCGCATCGAAGCTAAAATAATAATAGATGTTAAATAATAGATAATAAAAAATGTTCACTGAACTGGGTAAATGGTCCAGACACTGAACAAACTAAGTTTTTTTAATGTATTAACTTTTAAATGTTACAGTTGAGTAATTTGTTAAATAGTGATGCAAGACTTTAATAATAAAATTTAAATCACTAAAGGCAATATTTATAGTTCATTCTAATGAATAAGTTTTGCTGAAGTTATCAAAATAACACATATAAGAATAGCTTAAAATAACTTATTAAGAAATAACTATAAATACGACCCTTGTGTTGACATTTAAATACGCAATGCGAAATCAAAATTCGGTTCAATTATTATAGGGCCTTCTCGAAATAATTCAATAATCTTATAAGATTTTTTTAATTTTATATACCTAAAAATATTAAAATTTAAGAGTATATAAAATTATTTGATTGTAATAATAAACTTATTGCATAATTTTAAAATATAATAAATCTTTAATTGATCTCATGCTGTTAATTAGTCGATAAATAAACAAACACTTATATTTTCTTACCTTTAATCCATCTCGAAGCCAAGTGATCTTTGGTGTTGGATCGCCCACGATTTCAGAATCTATAATTACCTCACTTCCTTCTTCAATCTCTTGAAATTTTGGCTTAACAACAAATTTTGGTTTTTTTGAATACCTGGAATAATTATAAAAATATATATGTTTAATGTTGTATTTTGATATGAAACAATTAGGGTTCTTCAACGATATCGGTATTTCAATTCATATCGATATCACCGACTTTTTTAATAACTTTTCCCATGATATCGATTATTTTTAAAAATTGCTATGATGGAAAATTTTTTTTTATTATAAAATATATTTTATTTGATATGAGCACAAAACAGTTTGTGATAATGTTGTAATCATTTTTATATTAATATACACTATGAAATATAGTATTGAGATTAGACGTAAAATGATATTAATTGATACATTAATTGATTAGGTTTTTTATTATGGCATTTATGTTATCATTTTTAACAAAACACTAACAAAGTAAGGTATGAAACAATAACTGATTGAAACTCAATCTGAAAAACAAAATAAAATTATTAAACTCCCCAAAAAAAATCCCTATTAGGTGATAGTAATGAAGTTGATGTTTTATTTTGTAAAAGAAGAAAAATTGTTTACAGTTATGACCCAAAACAACAAAAAAAATATAAATAGCACTTATATAAATTTTTTTTTAATCAAAACATTGAAACTATAATAGTTTTATTAAAAAAAAACACAAATACGTCCATTTAATAAAACCAATTTATATTGATAAAATCTTGTAACAAAAAAAGCTTATTTCTTCATAATAAAAAGTCATTTGATAATATTTGATTATCATTATGAGTTGTAGCTATTAACTATTTTTTTAAATATTAATATCATATCAAATTTTTACAACTATGGTAACTTAACGTATTTTTGAAAATAAAGAAAATGATTAAAACATTTAAATATTAAATAAAAAAATGTTTTTCGATATTGTCGTATACTATTGCTGAAATTAGGTACGTTATCGATATCAAAAAATATATCGTTGACGAATCCTAGAAAAAAATATATAAACTAACAATCCTGCCGATGACAAAACAGGTATGTCACCAAAATCCTTGTGTTTACGGTCAATTACAATGACGTCACAAAAACTTTCTACCGTACCAACATCATTTGACGCTTTCAACAAATAAACACCAGTATCTCGTGTTGTGGCCTCTGCTATTCTTAGCTCTAATTTACCTTCATGATCTGCAACAATATCAACCCTACGTCCATTTCTTAACAAAACTCCATTTCTGAACCTAATAATAATCAAAATATAATAATCGAAATTTGTAATTAATGACCTAATTAAAATATTTTCATTTATTAAATATTACACTACATTAAATAACTTACCATTCTGCTTTAATCGGACGGAATGAATCTACTTGGGCACGCAGCGCTAAAGCATCAGTCACTTTTAATTCCGCGGGTAAATTATATATAAATTCTGGCGCAGGAGGATCGCCCCTGTGTTTAATAATTACTTCAAGCAGACAATTAGTAAAAGACGATCCCAATTTATTTGTGGCTGTTGCTGTGTAAGACCCACTGCTGCTCGCTTTTACATTAATAAGTTCTAAAGAACAAAAATTATCTGAATCTTGAGTTATATTTACATTTTCTGTAAAAATTAATAATGTTTAATAATAAAAATAATATTTGATTAAAAACAGAAAACTATTTATGAGAAACGAATTATTACCTGTCGATGAAGTTATTTGTTGACCATCTTTATTCCACGTTACAATTGGTATTGGTAGTCCAGTCACTTGACAAGACAATCGAACAGTTTCGTTCGCGTCAACACGACGGTTAATTAATTTTTTTGTGAAATTAGGTGCATTCTCTATATATTCATTATCTCTTAATAAACACCTAAAAATTATACTATTAATTATATAAATGCATTAATAAATTTATATATTACATTTAAATAAATTATTTATTTATAAATTTTATTAATATATTATAAATACATAAAGAAGACAATTTATTAATAAATATTATTATAAAAAATAATAAGGCTAAATATTTGTGTAAAACATAAATATTTAAAACAAAAAAATGCAGTCGTGTTTAATTACCCATTTACCTTATAAAAAATGTGTTGAATCTTTAATTGCTTGGCCTGTTGCCAATTATCTTAAAATTATAGAATAAGCACGTGGGGTAAAAATGTTCTAAACTACTTTTGATATAATTTATACAAGATCCCAACTAAAATTAAATTACAAACATAGCAAAATAAATTCTAATATAAATTTTAACGCATTTTTGTTTAATTATTATTAAATTAAAAAAATAGTAATAAATGCTCCGGTATAATAATAATTTTATTGAAAAATTGTTCCGTTGGCTAAGATTTTATTTGATAATTAAATATCAATATATTTAAATAAATTAACTGAAAAAAGCTCTTTAATTTTTATCCCAAAAATTTAATTTCACTTACTCGTGAAGCTTTTGTTCAGCTTGCACAATTTGTCGATTAGCGATTACTTCAACAACAGAATATGTACAGATTCTTCCTTGAATATTGGTCGCTTCACATACGTAACGCCCATTGTCTTCGTCAGTAGCATTAGTTATTGTTAATGTACATTTACCTTTTTCAGTGTACTCTTGACAATATTTTTCTGTCACCAACTCACCGTCTTTAAACCACACTACTTGAGGTTTTGGTGAGCCTTGTACCTAAAATATATTTTTTATTCATTCAATGAACCGATCATTAATGATTATAGATTTAAACAACAATTATATCACTTACGTGACAATGCAGTATTTTGTTGTCATTTATTAAAACTTTAGTTTCTCCTGGTAAGGGTTGAATAAATTCTGGTAAGTGTTCGGGTTCAAAAATATCTATGTAATTTGACGTCGATATTGACTCTCCCCAGCCAAATCTATTCCTAGCTGTTACTCGAAACTTGTATCCTGTATTGGGTTTTAAATTATATATATCCAAATTATTTGAGGAAGTCATGCCAACCTATAAGTTAATATAGCATTGTATTTCGTATAGAAAAAAATTTGTTGGTAATCACTCTTAATTACTTCTTTCCATAGACCTTCATTATCTGACCAGGCTTCCACCTTGTACACTAAAACTGCAACATTTTTTTCAGGTTTATCCCATTCAAGTGATATTCGATTCTTGCCCCTATCTGATACTCTCGGTATACCTTTAATAGGGCCCGGAACTTCTAAAAATAAAAAACAAACAATTACTATAATAGTTGTTACCTAAATTGTCGTTCCTTTAATTGTTTTTTTATACCTTGATGTTCACATAAATACAATAAAAAATCAGTTGTTTTAGTTCCTTTATGTAACCATTGATCCCTTAAAAGTTGAACACAACTATCGGAATCCTCAGGATTTACCATGTTTACACTTTTTTGCTTAAAGTTATTAATTTATTAAGAAATATATATATTTAAGAATTTTTCGGAGAAATTCGCTACATATGTAGGTATGCTTAGACCGATGACACCGAACTAGTGTTAAAAATAAAATAGAGACATGGTAGTCCTCGGGAAGTGCCAAAAATAATAGTTGTTTCACATTTTATCTATCCCACTAACCCTACTTTCTCATTCTATAAAATCATTTTTGCTTACCGTTCATATCACTATAGATGTGAAAATACTTAGACCAACTGATATTTGTTACCCCGGTCCTTGGTGGAGTCAATGATCTTGCTCGTTTCCTGACCTAAACACCAAATTGTATATTGTTTTATTAATTATAAAATATCGAAAAACTATATAAATTAAACATTTTTCAAATAAAAAGGACTAACATTCGTAAAATGTCTTACACAAATTTTTATGAACTAAAATTAAGAGTCTTATATATTCATAAAGAACAACATACTTTTTAAAAAATATTGTTTTTTATTTTCACAAAGTCTTTAAAAAAAACTTTAAGCTAAATATAGACATATTAGTATCAATAACTATTTGTTTATAATATTAATATTATTGATTAGAAAATTACATGCTATAATCATTTAGATAAATTAATAAACAGAAACAATTTTTATTTTTGTATTCAACAGAAAAATGATGTATATAAAATTATTTTTATAATTAACTTAATTATTATATACACTGACTTAGCTGATATAAAAGATCATTCATTCATTAAGTTTCAAAATGATACTTATTAAAATTATAAATATTATCACTGGGGTTTTTAGCTGTTTTACATTCTTTATAGAGTAAAGACTGGAAAAAGATATAGTTTCTATACAATTTTATGATTTTCTGATTAAATAAATGTCTAAATAACCCTCACTTACCTTAAATCCAAAAAAAGAAAAAAAAAACATTTTATCGTTAATATAAAGAAGATACTTAAGATAAACTATGCTCTTTATATAGAGTGATCGGTTTATCATAAACCAGTAGATTACTTTCAAAATATTGAAAAAATGATTTTTGATTTCTATTAGTTATATATAGTTTTTGATTTATCAACTAATAATTACTATTTAACTAGCTTATAAAATAGGAAATAATCTAATTAAAAAAATGACTGGTCTATAATAACTTTTGAACCAGTATTTCAAAAGTTATTAATAATTTAAAGTAATGATTAGTGGGCGTTACTATTTTTAATTAATAATTTCCTGACCGTATTTTTCGTCCCATCTAAAAATGAGAATAGCATCCTAAGTACTGGTCCAAAAATTGTTCTCAACCGGTCAGTTTCTTAATTGGATAATTTTCCAATTAATAAGTTAAATATGTAAATAAATCTACTTAAATATGTATGTTGCCATAAAATAAATATAGTTGACATCCCTATATTTTATAAAGATAATCCTAAAAACTAATAAATCAAGAAATATATGTAACTAAAAGAAATCAAAAATTATTTTTTTAATATTGTTTTTATTTTGCGACTAATCGAGTTTTTTTCGTTCATTATTGTTTTAAGCTTATTTTAAAAATTATTTTTAACTTTTTAGTTCGATATGCTTTAAAAGCATGTTTTTCAGTTTTTTTAAACTTTATTTATTTTTCACTTTTTAGTTTTTTATGACATCGCTGTCACAGTCACAGAATGTTTATTGTCAATTATGACTATCAATAGATATAATTTCTGTATTGCCAGTTAGTGTATTTATAAACTCACAACAGTGTGTCTTACTATCATTGATAATAAAGACTGTATACCTATGAATATCGTCATAAAAAAACAATTTGAAAACTGCGTCCCTAGCATTTTGAAGACCTTTTTTTTTTTTTTACTCATTACTTTATTTAGTATTTATTAATAAATTATATTTCATTATCATACTAATATTTAAAAAAAAAAAAAAGAGGTGGTATTTTCCACCGTCCTCATAAAAAAAAGTAGTTGGGGTGCGCAAAAAAATTTTAAAAAAAGTAGAGGAGCTACGTCCCCCTGCGCACCCCCCCAATTCGAGCACTGTATATATATATATATATAATATTGATGATATATACGGATGTACGGGTACGAAAACCAAAAATAAAATTATACAGGAATAGTGTTTTATCGTGTGGTGAGGGGGGTGGGGTGAATGCGTTACGACAGTCTAGTCTCAAGGCCATGAACGACGGGATAACACGTGGCGCGTGGAGAGTTACAAACATACATACAGGTGAAACTAAAAGAAGCGTGTTAAAAATGTTTAGTCATAACAAACTTAATTTTAACGTTAGAACAGTAATGCCAACCCAACCAACAGACGAAAAAATTATGCTAGCAATAAAATAGATAAATTTATATTTTATTTATTTTTTTAATATTTTGAAAATTTAGTAAATGTATCACTCTAAAATCTATTTTCAGCTTATAAAATAATTTATTGATTGGTCACCCATTGTTAAAAATCTATTTTAAGATTTTTAATAAAAAAAAAAAAAGTTATTCCATAAGAGTTGTGAGTAAATAAGTTTTATCGTCATTCTATGTTTATATCTAGATACATTTTAGAGATCTTTACTTAAAAGAATATTTATAAAATTTTGATTGAGCTGAACATTTTTAATTTTTCAGATATTCATTATAATATTATCATATTAATAATACATAACAACTATAAACAATATGTTTTATTATATTAAAATATATACAGTGTTTAAAAAGTAAGAAAACGAGTTTCAATTGCTCTCATTGTTTGTAACAAACCTGTTTTCTAGAATATCTAAAAAGTGTCGATTAAAGATAAAATAATAAGAAATAAGATTTATTTCTGATATTTAATAAGGAATTAAATAGCTAAATTATATTTCTATAAATTATATATAGCTTAATAAGTCGGTTAAATATAATTGTATGATTTAATAGCATTAATTAAAATATTTGATTAATTATTCAATTATTTCATTCAAATTTCTCGCTCATGTGTGTATTTAAAACAATTATAAAATTTTAATTTTTTATACTTGTTGTTCTAATAGCCAAGGAATAATAATTTTTAAATATTTTTTTAATATAATTTATATATTATATAATTTATAAATACTTTTTAACTTGTTGAGATAATTTAAGATAACTTTGATTAAAAGTAATTCTTTTTTTTTAAGTAACATAGAAATGTTTGGAATAAAGTTATAATATTATTGATTCTAACAGTATTTGAATTATTTTTAAGCCTCTTATTATTAAAAATTCATTGGAACATTAAATATATTGCATGTCTCACACTCACACCTAGAGTATTTAACCATATTCAAATTTTTTTTTGTGGTTTTAAAAATATTTAAAATTAATTAATAAATTAAAGAAAAAATTAGGGTAGATGTATTTTTTCTTGAAATACAATAAATCAAAGAATTTGTACTTCATAGAAGTTATTGCCAATTTATGATTTTAATAGTTGCTTTGCTATTTATTTTGTTTTTTTGTTTTCAATATTGAACAAAATTATTTAGAATTATGAAATATTATATTAGTAAAATATGAAATGTTCATACCTTTAAATTCTTTTTTAATTGTTGTTATATAATAAAAATATTATTCCATACTATAGTTCAACATACTTCACAACTAATGTTTTGAAAAGTATATAAGGACGATACAAAAGAATTTATTAAAAAAATAAATAAATGAATGATAGAATAGTTATCAAAAGTTTTCACAAGAAGTTCATAGTTTTAAATTTAAAATACTAAAATTTTATTGACACATTTTCAATGATATATTAGAAAAATAAAAATAAAAACCATTTATAGCTCTATTTTTCTTAATCTTTATTTCATTCACAAGTTCATGAAAATATTTTAATTCAATAAATTATAAACTAATTTAGCCTTGTTTTAATAAATTAATATGGCATTTAAAATAATATAACTAAAAAACTATCACAGACAATAATTATAGTAATATATATAAATATATATAGAAGTACACTGATGTGAATTATTTAACAAAAAATTGAAATATTTCAAATATAAATATTAACAAATATATAAGTAATTCATTTTGCTTTTTAAAGTATACAATTATTTAAAATAAAAAATACATAAAATGAAAAAAATTTGGCAAAAACTTTAAAAACATATTTTTCTTCAACTGTTTAAATAAAAATAATATTAAACAATTAAGATATTTCAAATTAAATTAATGACTATATTATTCTTGAATCAATGATTTAAAATGTACACTTTATTTTTATAACATAAATAGATACTCCAACTTAACTAATAGCTTAAAAATATCTATTTATTTATATTATATACTTAAAATAGATGATAATTAGTTAATATTATTAGTGAAAAAACTATTTTAGCTGGGCTATATTACAACATCAGTATTTTAAATATTTTAACTACAAAAATCTTTTGTATGTATAAATACGTCAAAATTTCTTTAGCTGTTTGATAAAATCTGTAAGCGATCACTTACCCCAACTGTCACAAATATTCTATCTGATCCATAAACATTTTTAGCAATAATAAAATAAGTTCCAGCATCAGATAGCTGTGCTCTTTTTATAGATAACTTAACATAATCATTTACAGTTTCTTTTGATGATCTATCTAAAAACGTAATGTCTTTAGCTCCTTTCATCCAAATGACTAAAAAAAAAAATGTTCTTTAGAAAATATAATTAACCCGTGTAAAAATAATTTTTTTTTTTTTTAGATATATTTCTTGTTGCTTAGAATTAAAGATTTTTTTGAGTTAATTTCAGTGAAATCTATTATACTAAAATGACATTCATTTTAATCACTAAGTGTAATCAAAATAACATGTATATACCTTGTGGTTTGGGTTCTCCTGCAACTCTAAAGGAAATGTTTATGTCTTCTCCAATGGTGACACTCAAACGACTGTTTGGTTTCGATACAATAATTGCAGGCTTTACACCTCTGTGACCAGCAAAATCTTGTTGTGAAACTACTTTGATGTGCTTCTCCAAATGGACACTTCCGTATAAATTACAAGCTCTACATATGTATGTACCGCTATCATTGACAGTACTTTCTCTCACTAATAGCGTGTATAAATTACCCTCATCAAGATATATGTATTTGTTAGATATTAGTGGTAATGGTTTTGATTCTCTTGACCAAGTAATATTAGGCATTGGTGATCCTATAAAAAAGTTGTTTGAATAAAAAAAAGCAATAATTTAATCTTTACTTAAATAATTTTCTAACCTTGAACTTTTACTTGAAGAGCAATTGTACCACCATATGTTGCAACATCATCTGCAAGTATAGAACTTATAAATTTGGGATATTTCGATATCTCATCTAATGAGTGCCAGTCATATTTTGTTTTTAATCGTAAATCATCGCTGTTCCATACATGTAATTTATCAAAATACTTTGATTTATAGCCATTGTTAGAAAAAGATGATGTTAGTTGTCTAGTTATTAATGATGCACCAAATACTGTTGGAGATGTGTATACTGTAAGAAACGCTCTAGTAGTAACTCTATCTTGTGTGTTCATTGCTACGCAAGTGTATTCTCCAGTATCACAATTTTGAGCATTTTCAATAACTAATTGCGCTATACCATTGTCATATTTTGTTTGATATCTAAGAACAAAATTAAATCACATAAATATAAACAAATTATGTTTTAATTAATTCAGTATTTAAACTGTTTACCTCATAGAAGCATTATAAGTATAGTTATTTAACTTTTGACCTTCTCTGTACCATTCAACTTTAGGTTCTGGAAAACCTGTTACGCAACACCAGAACTTCACTCTTGAACCAAATGGTACATTTTGATCAATCAAACGGACGCAGAAATAAAGTCTTCTAAATAGTTCCTGTAATTAAAAATAAGTATTATAGTAACTCAATAATATCTAAATTATTTGGTTAGTGATAACTTTCATTTAATATCTTACTTTGCTTTGAGAGAAGTCATCCTTCCACTTGATTGTTGAAATAGATGAACTATTAACTACCCTCCATCTAGTGTGGTAATATTTGTCCTGTTTATCTAATCGATAGAGATAACTATCTGAGCCTACTCTTCTTCTCATTCCTTGACACGAGTAAGAGTAATTATCATCAGATCTAAATTTAAGCGCTGTATCTGAAAGATACCTATTTGATTGTCTAGAATGTGATTTATTACTCATACTTTTGTAGCTATCAGTGTGATATGACATTCTAGTACTGTTGTAAGGACTTTGTGATCTATTACTTATGTTCTTTTGCAAATCTTTATCACTAGAAAAAGAATATTTCTCTTCATTAGATGTTATTTCAGGCGTGAGTGATCTATATTTTAATAGTCTTGAGCAACTATTATGGTTATTGTGTACATTTAAATGAATACCAAATCTATTTGATTCATAATGATTACAAGGTTTAATTACACTATCAAAATTTCTAAATGGAGATCTCTCCTTAACATCAAGTGGGACTGACATTCTACATGATATTCTATCAAAATTTTCATTAACTAATCTACTTTTAGAAGTTACATTTTTTTCATTTATTATTTGTTTTTTCATTTCTGCATTTCTGACTGTAAAGTGATTTACTTTAGTATTTGGACCATGATTTCCTGTGTCTGTAGTATTTAATTTTAATATAGATTGCATTGACTCATTTTCAGTGCATTTCAAATTTGAATCATCGAAACTAATAACTAGATTGGGTTTTTGTAATATCAATTGATTCTTACCATAACTTATTTTATTGTTGTCTAAATTAACCTTATAATTTTTTGATCCCGAATTGTAAAAACCATTTGATCTATTTATATTTAGATTCATAGTCTCATCTCTTTCCAAAATATTATCATTGTTTTCAATTATTTTATTTTTATAAACATTCAAATCGCTAGAAATAATTACACCTATTGAATCTTTTTTATTATCTATAGCTAATATTTCAGAAAGAGTTTCATTTTTTGAATCAAAATTAATTAATTTTTGAGAGAGAGAAGACTTTTCTATTTTTTTTATTGAAATTCTTTCAGGATTTTGGCTCTCCTCTTGTAGATTTTGTAATTGTGAATTATTTTGAAGAATATTATTATCAGTATTATCCGACTTTTTCCTTGTTCTTTTTTTATCAGTCGTATTTTTATCTTCTATCATTCCTTCATCAATAATTTTGTTTTCATTAGTATTATTTTCATTTTTTAATTTGATGGTTATTAATTTATTGTTTATGTTTGATTGTATTTCATGGGTTTTCTGTGTTTTGGTTGCACTAGGTAAAATAGTATTAATTCTATTGACTTCAGAAATTTTTATAATACTTTTTCCAGAAATGTCTTTTTCTATATTCATTTTATTTGTTTCACAAACATTCATTTCATTATTTTTTACTTTATCATCTTTTATTTGATATCTAGCAACTTCATCGTTTCTATTCGAATCATTATTAGTTTTATCCATTTCTGAATTATTTTTTTTTTTAATTGATGATTTTTCTGTCATATTTTTATTTTTACATATTTCATTTGAATCTATATTATACTTTTCACATTTTGGTAATTTATAATCTAAACTTGATTGCATATCTTTATTTGCATTTAGTAATACTAATTTATTCATATTTGATAATGTTTCATCGTTGTTATTCAAGGTATATCTTGATCCCAGTTGTAAGGATTCTGAAGATTTTACGTCTTGAAATGCTGATCCGTTAATAATATTATTTTCATTAACCATCACGTTACCTATCAAATTATTAATAAAAACTGGTTCAATTGACTCCCTCTTTTGACTAAATTGATTAAATTCGCAGTCCTGGACATTTTCAAATACTAATGGTTGACAACTAATTGCTGCATTATTTATATCTGATTTTATAGTTGCATTGTCAAATGAGATTAAATTACAACTATTTAAACTATCATCAAAGTCATTTAAATTATCTAACAAGATACATTCATTGTTTAATGAGGAATTTTTTTCATTAAAATGATATATATATGGAATATTTAATGAAATTCCTTTAGAATAATCTATTATATTTTCATTAACTTCTTCATTGTCCATTTCGAAAAATTTCTCATTAGGTATACTTAAAATTATCTCAGTTTCTGATTTATCTTTAGTTGTTGCTACAGGTAATTGTTCAGTGGTATCATCTAAACTATAAAAATGTTCACTGAAATCATCCTCTGATAAATTATTTGAAATAGATAAACAAGATTCACTATTTTCGTTATCAACTTCTGAAAACAATAACTCTCCTCTATTACACATATTCAAATGATTTTCAAATACTTCTGAGTTTTCGACTATTCCAGAATTATTTTCAGCTGTAATTATTCCATCACAGGAGTCCTGTAATTTTAAAATGATAGCATCAATAGTTCTAGGAATCTCAATAATTTCCACTTCAGATTTATGTATAGATTCGTTGGATTCATTATCTATAATTAGCAAAATAGATTTTTCTTGTATTAACTGATTACTACTCAAAGAAATTTCTAAACCGTTTCCGGCAGTAGAATGTGATTCATTGATTAAATTCAAAGAAATTGTATCAACTGGTAAAATATTGATAGTATTATCTACTTCATTTGCAATATTAATTTCATCTGCTTTCTCAAATGTGTCTAATGTTTCTAATACATCAGATGTTTGTTCTAGTTGATCATGAGATGTTATTTGATTAACTTCATTGATTGTGGGTATTGTTTCTTCAACTATTTCAGAAATCTCTGATTCATCAGTGGATTTTGATGTTTTTGTATCAACAGTTGAAATGTTGACTGTATTATCTATTTCATTTGTAATAATAATTTCATCTGCTTTTTCACCTATCCCTAATGTTCCTAATACATCAGATGTTTGTTCTAGTTGATCATGAGATGTTATTTGATTAGCTTCATTGATTGTGGGTATTGTTTCTTCAACTATTTCAGAAATCTCTGATTCATCAGTGGATTTTGATGTTTTTGTATCAACAGTTGAAATGTTGACTGTATTATCTATTTCATTTGTAATAATAATTTCATCTGCTTTTTCACCTATCCCTAATGTTCCTAATACATCAGATGTTTGTTCTAGTTGATCATGGGTTTTAATTTCATTAGCTTCATCAATGGTGGGTTTTGTTTTTTCAATTTGTTCAGACGCCTCTGATTCATCAGTGGCTTTTGATGTTTTTGTATCAACAGTTGAAATTTTGACGGTATTGTCTATTTCATTAGCAATATTAATTTCATCTGCTCTTTCACCTATCCCTAATGTTTCTAATACATCAGATGTTTGTTCTAGTTGATCATGAGTTTTAATTTCATTAGCTTCATTAAGTGTGGGTATTGTTTTTTCAATTAGTTCAGACGCCTCTGATTCATCAGTTGCTTTTGATGTTTTTGTATCAACAGTTGAAATTTTGACGGTATTATCTATTTCATTAGCAATATTAATTTCATCTGCTTTTTCACCTATCCCTAATGTTTCTAATGCATCAGATGTTTGTTCTAGTTGATCATGGGTTTTAATTTCATTAGCTTCATCAATGGTGGGTTTTGTTTTTTCAATTTGTTCAGACGCCTCTGATTCATCAGTGGCTTTTGATGTTTTTGTATCAACAGTTGAAATTTTGACGGTATTGTCTATTTCATTAGCAATATTAATTTCATCTGCTCTTTCACCTATCCCTAATGTTTCTAATACATCAGATGTTTGTTCTAGTTGATCATGAGTTTTAATTTCATTAGCTTCATTAAGTGTGGGTATTGTTTTTTCAATTAGTTCAGACGCCTCTGATTCATCAGTTGCTTTTGATGTTTTTGTATCAACAGTTGAAATTTTGACGGTATTATCTATTTCATTAGCAATATTAATTTCATCTGCTTTTTCACCTATCCCTAATGTTTCTAATGCATCAGATGTTTGTTCTAGTTGATCATGGGTTTTAATTTCATTAGCTTCATCAATGGTGGGTTTTGTTTTTTCAATTTGTTCAGACGCCTCTGATTCATCAGTGGCTTTTGATGTTTTTGTATCAACAGTTGAAATTTTGACGGTATTGTCTATTTCATTAGCAATATTAATTTCATCTGCTCTTTCACCTATCCCTAATGTTTCTAATACATCAGATGTTTGTTCTAGTTGATCATGAGTTTTAATTTCATTAGCTTCATTAAGTGTGGGTATTGTTTTTTCAATTAGTTCAGACGCCTCTGATTCATCAGTTGCTTTTGATGTTTTTGTATCAACAGTTGAAATTTTGACGGTATTATCTATTTCATTAGCAATATTAATTTCATCTGCTTTTTCACCTATCCCTAATGTTTCTAATGCATCAGATGTTTGTTCTAGTTGATCATGGGTTTTAATTTCATTAGCTTCATCAATGGTGGGTTTTGTTTTTTCAATTTGTTCAGACGCCTCTGATTCATCAGTGGCTTTTGATGTTTTTGTATCAACAGTTGAAATTTTGACGGTATTGTCTATTTCATTAGCAATATTAATTTCATCTGCTCTTTCACCTATCCCTAATGTTTCTAATACATCAGATGTTTGTTCTAGTTGATCATGAGTTTTAATTTCATTAGCTTCATCAATGGTGGGTTTTGTTTTTTCAATTTGTTCAGACGCCTCTGATTCATCAGTGGCTTTTGATGTTTTTGTATCAACAGTTGAAATTTTGACGGTATTGTCTATTTCATTAGCAATAATAATTTCATCAGCTTTTTCACCTATCCCTAATGTTTCTAATACATCCGATGTTTGTTCTAGTTGATCATGAGTTTTAATTTCATTAGCTTCATTAAGTGTGGGTATTGTTTTTTCAATTAGTTCAGACGCCTCTGATTCATCAGTTGCTTTTGATGTTTTTGTATCAACAGTTGAAATTTTGACGGTATTATCTATTTCATTAGCAATATTAATTTCATCTGCTTTTTCACCTATCCCTAATGTTTCTAATGCATCAGATGTTTGTTCTAGTTGATCATGGGTTTTAATTTCATTAGCTTCATCAATGGTGGGTTTTGTTTTTTCAATTTGTTCAGACGCCTCTGATTCATCAGTGGCTTTTGATGTTTTTGTATCAACAGTTGAAATTTTGACGGTATTGTCTATTTCATTAGCAATAATAATTTCATCAGCTTTTTCACCTATCCCTAATGTTTCTAATACATCCGATGTTTGTTCTAGTTGATCATGAGTTTTAATTTCATTAGCTTCATTAATTGTGGGTTTTGTGTATTCAATTAGTTCAGAAATCTCTGATTCATCAGTGGATTTTGATGTTTTTGTATCAACAGTTGAAATGTTGACTGTATTATCTATTTCATTTGTAATAATAATTTCATCTGCTTTTTCACCTATCCCTAATGTTTCTAATACATCAGATGTTTGTTCTAGTTGATCATGGGATGTTATTTCATTAGTTTCATCAATGGTGGGTTTTGTTTTTTCAATTTGTTCAGACGCCTCTGATTCATCAGTGGCTCTTGATGTATTTGTATCAACAGTTAAAATTTTGTCGGTATTGTCTATTTCATTAGCAATATTAATTTCATCTGCTCTTTCACCTATCCCTAATGTTTCTAATACATCTGATTTTTGTTCTAGTTGATCATGAGTTTTAATTTCATTAGCTTCATTAAGTGTTGATATTGTTTTTTCAATTAGTTCAGACGCCTCTGATTCATCAGTTGCTTTTGATGTTTTTGTATCAACAGTTGAAATTTTGACGGTATTATCTATTTCATTAGCAATATTAATTTCATCTGCTTTTTCACCTATCCCTAATGTTCCTAATACATCAGATGTTTGTTCTAGTTGATCATGGGTTTTAATTTCATTAGCTTCATCAATGGTGGGTTTTGTTTTTTCAATTTGTTCAGACGCCTCTGATTCATCAGTGGCTTTTGATGTTTTTGTATCAACAGTTGAAATTTTGACGGTATTGTCTATTTCATTAGCAATATTAATTTCATCTGCTCTTTCACCTATCCCTAATGTTTCTAATACATCAGATGTTTGTTCTAGTTGATCATGAGTTTTAATTTCATTAGCTTCATTAAGTGTGGGTATTGTTTTTTCAATTAGTTCAGACGCCTCTGATTCATCAGTTGCTTTTGATGTTTTTGTATCAACAGTTGAAATTTTGACGGTATTATCTATTTCATTAGCAATATTAATTTCATCTGCTTTTTCACCTATCCCTAATGTTTCTAATACATCAGATGTTTGTTCTAGTTGATCATGGGTTTTAATTTCATTAGCTTCATCAATAGTGGGTTTTGTTTTTTCAATTAGATCAGACGCCTCTGATTCATCAGTGGCTTTTGATGTTTTTGTATCAACAGTTGAAATTTTGATGGTATTATCTATTTCATTAGCAATATTAATTTCATCAGCTTTTTCACCTATCCCTAATGTTTCTAATGCATCAGATGTTTGTTCTAGTTGATCATGGGTTTTAATTTCATTAGCTTCATCAATGGTGGGTTTTGTTTTTTCAATTAGATCAGACGCTTCTGATTCATCAGTTGCTTTTGATGTTTTTGTATCAACAGTTGAAATTTTGACGGTATTATCTATTTCATTGTCAATAATAATTTCATTAGCTTTTTCACCTATCCCTAATGTTTCTAATGCATCAGATGTTTGTTCTAGTTGATCATGGGTTTTAATTTCATTAGCTTCATTAAGTGTGGGTATTGTTTTTTCAATTAGTTCAGACGCCTCTGATTCATCAGTTGCTTTTGATGTTTTTGTATCAACAGTTGAAATTTTGACGGTATTATCTATTTCATTAGCAATATTAATTTCATCTGCTTTTTCACCTATCCCTAATGTTTCTAATGCATCAGATGTTTGTTCTAGTTGATCATGGGTTTTAATTTCATTAGCTTCATCAATAGTGGGTTTTGTTTCTTCAATTAGTTCAGACGCCTCTGATTCATCAGTGGTTTTTGATGTTTTTGTATCAACAGTTGAATTTTTGACGGTATTATCTATTTCATTTGTAATAATACTTTCATCTGCTTTTTCACCTATCCCTAATGTTTCTAATGCATCAGATGTTTGTTCTAGTTGATCATGGGTTTTAATTTCATTAGCTTCATTAAGTGTGGGTATTGTTTTTTCAATTAGTTCAGACGCCTCTGATTCATCAGTTGCTTTTGATGTTTTTGTATCAACAGTTGAAATTTTGACGGTATTATCTATTTCATTAGCAATATTAATTTCATCTGCTTTTTCACCTATCCCTAATGTTTCTAATACATCAGATGTTTGTTCTAGTTGATCATGGGATGTTATTTGATTAGCTTCATCAATGGTAGGTTTTGTTTTTTCAATTTGTTCAGACGCCTCTGATTCATCAGTGGCTTTTGATGTTTTTGTATCAACAGTTGAAATTTTGACGGTATTGTCTATTTCATTAGCAATATTAATTTCATCTGCTCTTTCACCTATCCCTAATGTTTCTAATACATCAGATGTTTGTTCTAGTTGATCATGGGTTTTAATTTCATTAGCTTCATTAAGTGTAGGTATTGTTTTTTCAATTTGTTCAGACGCCTCTGATTCATCAGTGGCTTTTGATGTTTTTGTATCAACAGTTGAAATTTTGACGGTATTATCTATTTCATTGTCAATAATAATTTCATCAGCTTTTTCACCTATCCCTAATGTTCCTAATGCATCAGATGTTTGTTCTAGTTGATCATTAGATGTTATTTGATTAGCTTCATTGATTGTGGGTATTGTTTCTTCAACTATTTCAGAAATCTCTGATTCATCAGTGGTTTTTGATGTTTTGGTATCAACAGTAGAAATTTTGACGGTATTATCTATTTCATTTGTAATAATACTTTCATCTGCTTTTTCACCTATCCCTAATGTTTCTAATGCATCAGATGTTTGTTCTGGTTGATCATGGGATGTTATTTGATTAGCTTCATTAATTGTGGGTTTTGTGTCTTCAATTAGTTCAGAAATCTCTGATTCATCAGTGGATTTTGATGTTTTTGTATCAACAGTAGAATTTTTGACGGTATTATCTATTTCATTTGTAATAATACTTTCATCTGCTCTTTCACCTATCCCTAATGTTTCTAATGCATCAGATGTTTGTTCTGGTTGATCATGGGATGTTATTTGATTAGCTTCATTAATTGTGGGTTTTGTGTCTTCAATTAGTTCAAAAACCTCTGATTTATCAGTGGATTTTGATGTTTTTGTATCAACAGTTGAAATTTTGACTGTATTGTCTATTTCATTGGCAATAATAATTTCATCAGCTTTCTCAAATGATTTTGAAGTTTCTAGTACATCAGATGTTTTATCAAATTGATCAAGGGTTGTTATTTGATTAACTTCATCAATGGTGGGTTTTGTTTTTTCAATTAGTTCAGAAATCTCTGATTCATCAGTGGATTTTGATGTTTTTATATCAACAGTTGAAATTTTAACGGTATTTTTTATTTCATTTGCATTATTAATTTCATTTGCTTTTTCAAATGATTTTGATGTTTCTAATACATCAGATTTTTGTTCTAATTGATCATTTGTTGTAATTTGTTTTGCTTCACTTATTGTTACTAGTTCATTATTTTTCACTGTTATTGGACATATGCTTTCTTTTGAAGAGGTACTATTTTTTTCATTTTGTAAATATCCGTTCTCAGATTTATCATTTTCATTAGCTATATATGATAAGTTGATGGACTGAGTGCTGTATGTTTCACTTTGAAGATCGGCTTTTTCTGAAAAGCTTATATCACTTTCAACAGATGCCATTTTTGTTACAATAAGATTTTGCAAATGTAATAATGGCTTCATTACATTACCAAACATAACATCATTGACTCCTAAATCTTTAATTGTGTCATCAAAAAGAATGCTCTGCATCATTTTAATTGACGATTCAAAAGGTATTTCTTTATCAGCCTCTTCTACAATAGATTGGTTAACTATACAATTGTTTAATTGTAGAAGTTGTTGTGATAAATTTTCGAAACAAGCAATAAATTCGTAACTCATATTTGAACAATTGTGATTTGCAAGAAGCAATTGGTTTACTTGGAACAATCCTATTTTCAAATCTTGTAGTGGCTCCAATAAATTTCCAAGAGGGTTAATGTTATTTTCGTAATCTCGAACTGTGTTAACATTATTTAGTAATGTATCAATATCTATCATGAGTTCATCAAATAGAGTTTCAAAATCCATTAAGAGTTTATCATCTGATCCATAATCAGATGACAATATATTTTCTGTTGATCTACCAAGTTTTCTTAAATGACAACATAAGTCATTTATTGGTTTAGTGAATAATATAAAACACTCGGCTAAATTATTATTTTTTGTACCTTGAGATGCAAAACATGAAAATTGATTTGCAGCATCACTGATTCTTTCACAAATATTTTTTAAATCTTGATCTTCTTCCAAATTTTCATTTTGAAATTCTAAACTGAAATTATTCAATAAAAATGCTATTGAGCTAATTTGTGGAATTAATCTCTTTCTTATTTTTATATCAGTTAGACTATTACTCGCAGAAACTTCTTCAATAGTTATATCATTTAAAATTATTTCAAGTGGTTGAATCATAGAAAATAATGGTGCTAGCGTTCTTGAATTAATAGTTTTTAATTTAAATGATTGCTGTTGTAATGTTTTTATATAAATTAAAGTTGTACCAATTGTACTTCGTATAACTGCGATAACTCTTTGATTTATTATTTGTGTTATTTGACGATTTATGTTTGCTGTAAAAACTTTAATTTCTTTTGATATACATTCCAAAATTTCTTGTGCGGACATTTTTTCATTATTAAGCACATCGAAATCAAAGTTACCTGAAGACTGAATTTTATTAAATAAGGTATCAGATATTCCAAAAGGATCCTCAAATTGTTCTAACCCTAACAGACCCGCATTGATAGCTGTCATTAAATATGAGACATTTTCCATAGTTGTTTTATTTAACTCAACTTTGTTACTATTTTCAGCTTCTTGAACGAATCTCCATGCTAAAGTGTGAAGAGATTGTATCGCATATTTTAGATCTTTTGGAATAATAACATAGTTAATATTTTCAAATGAACTCATTTTTACCGTTGTTCCTTCTAATATAATTTTCATGCATTTTAAAAATTCTTCAACATTAGGCTTTGAAATTATCTTTAATATGTTATCTTCTTCTGTGCTTAATGATAACGTTGTTGCATCTTTACCTCGTATTTTATTCAAAACTGTTGAATATAAACCATCTTCATCGGATTGTGCCAGAATTTCAGCCGTGTAATAGTTATCAAGTAATGGTACTTCAGCAAGGGATTCAGTGACTTCTTCTTCAGTATTATTACTTTCAGCTCTTTCCAACGTTCGTAAAACCTGTTGTGTAGAACCAATATTTTGTTCATTGTCGACATTTATTTGAGATACAATTTGATTTTCTAATTCTGATTTGAATATTTTTTGTGTTTGATATTCAGTATTATCATTATCTTCTGATAATAGTCTATGTAAGTCAGATGAATTTTTGGGTGTTCTTTCACTAGCGCTAAAGAATACATCTTTTTTGGAGATACTAGACGATTTGTGATCTGAAAAAAAATCTGAACTATTTTCAAACAAACTATCTCGCTTGTCACAAAGTGGTAAAGTTGTATCTTCTGTTATAGTAAAAGCATCCAAATCTGTATCAGAAACAGTTAATTGTCTACAAAATCCGACTGGAACATCGATTACCAACGCTTCCATTAGCACATGGCCTGATATAGATGACTCTTTAACAATCCGAAGTGATGGCAAGTCGACAACATTATCCTCTATAAAATACAAATTAATAGTAAATAAGCATACCGTGTTTCAAAAAATATAAGAATCAAAATATACTTGGTTAAATTACTTAAATTAAAAATTTACCTGATATATGTTCAGATAGTTCATCAGCGTACATTTCTATGATTTGTAGTGCTTCGTCATGAGAAAGGTCTGGGGTTTCGTAAAGTGAAACTGTAACTTCTTTGCCATCAAATGAAAATGACACATCAGCAGGTTCTTCAATTGTAAATGACTTTTCCATTTGACTCGTTCGTTCTTCGAGTATTGTTGATAAAGATTCGTTTCGAACAAGAGGATTTTCAACAGATAAATATTCATCTGTATTACAAGTTTTAACTGTAGACTTGTCTGAAAAACAGTTTAGTATGAAAAAAAAATGTTAAATAAAAAATGCTTTAATGCTTGTAATAACTTGTAAAATAAACATAGATAATACCGATTTCAGCTGTAAATTTTTTCGAATCTTTGAATAAAAATATAAGTTTAACCTATTTGTTCAAGAATAATTATTAGTTAATTAATGTAGTTAAAAAAAATAATTGTTAATTGTGAATTATTTCAGAATTTTCAAAAAATCTAATAATTAAAAATACCTTCAATTGTCATTAATGTTGCAGAACTAGTTGTTGTTCCCATGCAATTGTGTGCTTGACAAGTATACGTGCCCAAACAACACATTCCTCCTTGCCCAGAAATAATTTTATGCATATCTCCAGGATTTAGTGGTTGACCATCTTTAAACCATTTCAATTGAGGTTGAGGAACACCGATTACCTTTTTATACAAATAATATTTATTGTAAAATAAGCAATAAACTAAAATAATAAATAAACTAATTAATCAAACAATTGTTGCATAAAATGTATAATTATTAATATTTCGCATTTATTTTAATTTTTAGAAATTAAATCATAATTAAAATAAATCATACTTTGCATTCTAAATTGACAGATCCTTCATTTGAAAAAGCAATTCTTAATTCTTCTAAGAATTTCGGGGGCTTGAAATTTTTTGGCACATTAAGTTTTAAAAAACAGGAAGTTACAGTTTGGCCGTATTTATTAATCGCCACACATTTCCATTCTGCTTGGTCAATTATTTCTAGAGGTTCAATATTTAAAGAATGGGTGCCATTTATTTCGCTTAACATTTTATAATGATCTGATTCGGTAATACAATTATTTTCTCTATACCAATTTATTGAAGTTTGAGGTTCAGTAGTTACTAATATATGTTTAAATCGGTAAAAAAATGTTATTAATTTGAATACTAGTAGTTTAATTAAAAAAAACCAACCTTTTATTGTAAACACAAATGATTCGTTTATATTAGCTTCAATAGTTTTGAGACCTATAATAAACCTTGGCGGTTGTGTTGTTGAAGTAAGTTGAAGTTTTTCATTTTCATTCAGTTGATTTTGAATATCTTCTACTGTTAATTCAGCGTAACTACTTGCTTCTCCCATACAATTTTGTGCCAAACAACAATAATTTCCTAAATCGTATATAATAAAACTAGAGATAATAGTGGAATTATTCAAATGAATAATTTACATACCTAGAGATTTACTTCCTATCAGCTCGTAAACATCTCCAGGTTGAAGTTGTTTTCCGTCTTTATACCACAATAATTGAGGTGTTGGGTAGCCAATAACTTTACATTCAAAACTAACCATGCCTTCATCAGTCATAATAGCTCTTAAGCTTTCTAAAAATCTTGGAACTCTATAATTTTTTGGATCTTGTATTCAAAAAATATAGATTTAATATTAACAGATTAGAACAGTTTTTCGATATACTTTTTTTTTTTAGGAACTTACAAGATACAGTTATCCTACAAGTTGTTACAGCCTTGGCTCCAGTTGAACTGGTAGCTACGCATTTCCATGTGGAATTATGATCAGCTCTAAGAGCTTTTATTTCAACTCCATACATTCCTAGTCCATCGGCAATTAAATGATATAAAGGTCCTTCTTCTATTAATCCATTATCATTATACCATCCAATAATTTTTGGCCATGGTGGAACCTCAACTAAATATTGAATGAACTATTAAATTTTGTGAATATAAAATTAAAAATTTACTGTCAAAACTTCTACGATAAAATAGCAACACGCTTTATAGATATTTTTAAAATAAGAATTTTAAGTAAAACTAAAATTATTCGTTTTAAATTGTTTTTTTTTTTTTTTATAAATTTGTCTACAATAACGTTTAATTTTAATTATAATTAAAAATGTATCAAGTTCGTATAATAATTATTGAAAACTGATGATAATCTTTAAATTTAACATGCCATAAAATAAAAAAATTACATAGCTCTATTCTAACTTTAGGAAAAAATTTTAATTAATTTTAATATTTTTCATTACCTTGGCATTTTAAGACTAATTCATGTCCAACTTTACCAGTTAAATTTTCTAATCCTTTTAAAAATGCTGGTGGTGGACCATATGGTATAATACTATAATATAAAAAATCAATTGTATATTTTAAGAAATTTAAAATATAATAAACTACTTTACCTATCTGAATTATATTCACCGCTAAGTTTTGTGTGAGTCACGAGTATTTTAGAGGTAGAAGTCGCAATACCCATTACATTTGTTGCTTCGCATGTATATATCCCTAAACAATCATCCTCGGAATTTGCTGTTAATGCAAATATATCACCAGCTTTTACTTCACATCCATCTTTAAACCAACGTAGTTTCGGTGTAGGAACACCAATAACTTTACATTCTAAAGAAACTATGCCTTGTTGTGTTAATATTGCTTTTAATTCTTCTACAAATATAGGTTTTTTAAATGCTTTTGGAACTAAAATAAAAAATTAAAAAAATTATTTGGAAAAACATTTTATTTTTGCTATTTACCAGTTAATATTAATTGTCCTGCCGTAGATGATTTCCCAAATGAATTTTGAGCCGTGCAAACCCATAAGCCTTCGTCTTCCAGTGATACTGGAACGATATCTAAACAAAAAAATCCTCCTTCGTGTATGAATTGAAACCTCTCACTTTTAGCCGCTTGATTATTTTTAAACCAATAGACCTGAACAAAATAACATCAAATAAATGAGTCGCACCTTGATGTCTAAAAATAATTGACGGATAGACTTGTTTGACACTATGGTGTTTTTATACATACGATTTTTTAATTATTCTATTTTATTTATAAGAAGTAAAAAAAAAGTATGTTTAAAATGAATTGATTTGAATTATTTTTTAAAGCTTTAATTTTATTCGTTATAATAATTGTAAAAAGAATTATCTTGTTTCTATGATTAAACTTTATTACTTAATATTTTTACTACCTGGACATCAATAGGATTTTCTATTTCAATAAGCAACCTTGTTCGAGCTCCGACACGTATATGCAAATCATTAAGACGTCTAAGAAATATTGGAGGGGATGCTATTTCTTGACTAGACATGCTTGAAGAACCTGACCTATGATTTTTACAAAAAGTTGAATAATTGCCCGATTTTACATCAAGGCTCCTCAAAGATTGTTGTGGTATAGATTCAAAAGTAAGAGCATTTTCTGCTTTTGGTCTGAAAAAAATAAGTTTTATAAATGTATTATCTCTAATTAACTATTTCACATGAATAAGTATTTAATAATAACGCTATTCTATGCATTAAAAATGTAACAAGTTGATAGTTCAAATATATTAAAGTCTAATAACTTATAAATTATACTTGTTCAATAATTTTATTTATTTACATTATTTAAAACTAATAATCATTACAACATATCTTATAAAAGTCATAACATTTATGAGTTTACTTAGGAAATAAGTTAATTATGTTAAAAAAAAATTCTAAACAAGTATTCTAATAAGTTGGAGTTTTAAGCAAGTGTTCTAATTTGTCTTACCGCCGTTTATTGTATAAAGCAGAAAACAAAATTTGCACTAAATTCCAAAATATTACAATCATTTAAATTTATTTTATTAAAACATGTTATTAGAAATTTGATGTTAATTAGCGCACTATGTGTGCTCAATTTCGACTGCCGGCTATTCGCGTTAATGAAACTCTTACGGAAATAAACTAACCTAAAAATAAATATAGAAGTTCGAACCAATCGTAAATGAAGAGTGCTGTCATGAGCAAACCTTTATGATAATAGATATTTTTTTTTATTTTAACTGCTGCCAATTACTTTATTAATAATATTTTAATACACATTTATATTTTCGTTAACAAAAGCTAATTATGAGAAATAATTTAATTTTTACGTTTTATAAAAGTAATTAACAACAATTGCTATTCAAATTTAAATTGAATAAAAATTTAACATAAATACAAGATAAAAAAAGGCTAGTAAATAGTTAGCAAATTTTAGAAAATATGTACATTTCGTTGATCAACTAAATTTTACTAATAATTTATCCACGCAATTTTTTTTTTTTTTTTAAAAATCAAATGCGTAAGAAAAACTAAAGAACAAGTTTTATTCAGGCTTTTTAACAAAAAAAAGCGGCATTCAATTAAAGGAATCAATTTTCCAAGTGACATCATACAATCTACCTAATTTTATTGATAACAATTGATTACTAATAATTGTTAATCAATTTCTTCAAGAAATAATCGCTTGAAGAAAATATACATATGTATATTTTATGTATATAATATAAAAAAAAATGTATTTATTATCTGGCAGTGATTAATATTACTCTAAGCCAGAAACAATTCTTTGCCGTCTTTCTAAAAATAAATCATTCCAGCCTATTGCGCGATCAAAATTAATGTCACATATTTTATATTAGTAAAAATTTAAAAAAAATTTCTTTGGTTGAGTTTACATTATACCAAAGATTTAAAAGTTTCATCACCTTATTATAATCTTCATTAGTTAATGATTATATAAGTATTTTTTTTTAATGTACCAATATAAAAATACAAAAGTATTGTTACGGACAGTAATTTTTACTATACATTCTTGTACATAACTCAACAAATATTTATCATATATATAAATAAACGATATAAATGTATACTTTCCTATAAAAAGTAACTAGTAACTAATAAGTTTATTTATTTTACTCTATATTTTTATATGAAATTTTAGTTTATAAATTATTGGCAAGACGAACAAAAAAGTCGACGTAGGTGTTAACCTTGATGACCTTAACAAAAAATGATTGTTCTTCCTTCACTAAAAATGTTTATAAGGCTATAATTAAAACACTACGATTAACCTAGATTTTTTCTTTATTAAATATTAAAATTCTTAAGTTGATAAAATATAAAAATCAAAAATATTTATAATAAATAATGAAAGAATAAGTATCTTTCTGAAAATATTATAGTCATTAAAATTTTTTTTTTTACATTTACCAAAATTCTCCTGAGTATTTACAAGTATTAAAATCTGTACTTTAAAGATTCAAATATTTAAAACAAAATTATTTTAGGACAATCTTTTATTTATAACAATTAGTAAATTGATATTTGTATTATTAAATACATATAATTCAACTTTAATCTATAGTAATATGATACATTTTATCAATTAAGCTGTATTTTTATGAAATTTAGTTCCATATATAATCAGAATTGTTAACGTTATACGGCTATTAAAATTTTAAGTTATTCATCTTACATATGACATAAAGCCATAACTAAAAATAATTTTAAAATAACAAACTAAACTTTTAGATCAATTATCACCCTAAATCTAAAAACTTATAATTCATAAAATTATGTACTTTCTGCTTTTATATTTATAACTATTTTATTAAAGTAGACGTTTGAATGTAAAAAATTTGTAACACCAACATTGCAACATTACCTACATTACAACTTATAAATAGCTAAAAATTTGTTTTTAATGATGACTATACACATCACACGTGTACGCAAAACATGTCTAAAATGAGTATGTTGATACATCATTAATTAATGTATTTACGGTAAATGAATTGTATAAAAATGTATTTTTAAGTTAAGCAATCATATCTCATTACTCATTGTATCTTCCTAACAAAATATGATCAACACTTAACACTTGTTAATCATCAAGTAATTGTAACAAGTATTGCTGTGTAAAATTAAAGTGCATTCAAAATAAAATTCGTAGGGGTTATATTATATTTGAACGTAAACCTTTTTATTTTCAAAACTCGAAAAAATTCAAACAGAAATCCAGAGTTGTGTACTTTTTTTAATATAATGACAGTTTTGAAAAAATTGTTAGCAATTGCATTTGAATTGAGAAAATTTATGATTTTGCAATTATATGAAAGTTTAAAGTTAAAAACCCTTAAAATTAGATTATGTTTTAAATTAAGATTAATTTTGAATTTGAATTATTGTATAACTTAAAGGATTTAATAAGTTTAAATCAAAAGAGTTGTTTTTAGATAAGGAACTGTATTAATCATTTTGTTTACGTGAATTTGTTAAGCTTACCGAGAAGTCGAAGAATTATTAGATGAAAAAGAAGCAACTGTTCCATTTACACTGCTATAGTTTGATTGACATTTACAGCATTTGTTGCCCATGATATATGATGTAAAATATGAATAATATCATAAAAAGATCATAATATTACTAGTAATACTGGCATTATTTAATAAGTTAAAAAATAAAATCTTGTCAAAAAATTGAAAATTAAAACTTTTTTTGCACAAATATATATATATGTATTACAACAACAACCAACACCCCTTCACCTTATTATAGGAGACGGACTTGGACGGGAACGAGTCCAAACGTTTGGGCGCGCAGACCGACAACGGACTGACCCACACACGGAATTATTTTAGTATACAGCGGCGCAGTTTTGTCCGGCAACTGCATCAAATTTTCTCTTTTAGTGACAATAACAAAAAATCAGTCGCCAGATATTTATTCATCCACTAATTTTTATTAGTTCATTTTCTGCTCTGTAAATTTGTTGGATATCCCTCTCTTTACTACTTGCATGAACTGTGGTATACTATTTGTTAGACTCATTCAATCCTCGTCAATACCAAAAATAAACCATAATATACACAACGATAAATGTCACAATCGTCTGGCAAATGGATAATAAAATCATTATGGATGAAGTCATTGGAAACTTCTCTGCATTTAAACTGTAAATCAAACTGTAAGCTATAAATTAACCTCGACCTTTATTAAATCATCCATAAAACTTGCAGTAAGAAGTCGACAAAAATTTCCTAACTTAAATGATTACACACCTATTCGTAAATAAGCTGATTTTTTTGCCACCAAATTTCTAAAAAAATAATGTACGTATTTTTTAATTGCCGAATTTATATTAGAATATAATTTAATAAAATTATTGGACAAATATAGAAAATTAAAAAAAATTTCTTTAAAAAAAACTTAATAATCAATAATGTTAAGAATACTTCCAAATAAAAGTATTTAAATACTAATAAATATTTTTTTATATATATTCTTATTAATATTTTAGAAAATGTATACATGAAAATCGCAAATTTAAGCGGGAGAAGGTAGGTACATCTTAATATTTAAAAAAATTGTATCTTCTTTTTAAAATAACATTTATTGATATGATTATGATATAAATTAATTATTAAACTACGATTAAAATAGTCGTTGAAAATATGTCTATAGTAGTTAAAAAAAAATTTTTACCATTATATTGAATGCAGACGCATATAGAGGGGCTATAAAAACAACGACCTTTCCAAAATTAGCAACTTTAAGAGTTAATCATGAACAGAAAAAAAATCTTTATGGGCTTTAACATTAAAATGTTTATAATTTGATAAATATTTATTGTAAAATTGTTACCAAACCATCAACATTTTTTATGAGAAAAATTCTAATATTGCAATTTAGTAACTTCAAAAACTAATAATTTTTTTAGAGACAGGTAATAAAAAATATATTTTAACATAGTCAAACACTACAAAAATAATTTTTTAAAAAAAACGAAAAATTATCACTGGATCAAAAGTTATTAAAAATGTTAAAATTTGGTGGGATATTTTGTATATAATTTAAAAAATTATTTTTTTAATACAACTTTAAGGCGCAAAATGTATGCAAACATTTTACTGCTAAGACAAAGAAGAAGCTAGTTAAAATACTCAGAATTAGATTATACTGAAACGTTAAACAATTTAACCAATGAAATATCTATTGACAAATCTTTATTAGGAAATTGGTCGTCATTACTTCTATGATTTTGTTAAAAATAATTTTTATTGTCATATAAATAGTTGGTAAATTATTAAAACTTTAAGAAATATTTCTATTCATTAAAAAATATTTGTTCGATATTTAAAATGTAAGAATTAAAAAATATGAAATAAGTAACTATGGTTCTAATTTCAATTAGGTTCAATTTGATTAACAATTTGAATCAAGCTCCCTAATCAATTTAAATTTATGTTTATTTGATACCCACATTTACGTTATGAAAATAAAATAATTATTAATATTTCTTTATTTATAGTTATTTTAAACAACATTAAAATATAAAAGACAAAAAAAGCAACAAAATATAGAAGATATACTACAAATAAAATATTAAATATTTTCAAGAGCCTTCCAATATTCAGTCTTCTTTTTCCTCGCCATAATCCCAACTTCTTGGAATCGGCCATCCTTATCCTAAACTTCCATTTGACACAATCTCTCACATCATTTACGTTCACACTAGCCGTTTTCATATCGCTTTAAATTACATCCCTTCATCTCTTTTTTGGTCTTCCTCTACCTCTTCTTCCTTCAACATTAATTTCTATAACTGTTCTTACAGCTTTCGTTTTCTCTCTCCTCATAACATGACCTAGCATTTAATTAATTTCCTCCCTATTTTCTCCTATTAAAACTATATCGTCAGCGAACAATATGCACCACAGCACCTCTCCTTGTATTTTTCTAGTAATTTCATCAATCACTATAGAAAATAAGTAAGGGCTTAAAGCAGAACCTTGGTGCACTTCTACTTTTACTCTAAAATCTTCTGTTACTCCTCCTACACTTTTTACCCTAATACAAGTGCCATTATACATATCCTCTATTATATTAATATATCTTTTAAGGACTCATTTTCTCATTAATGCCTACTTTAAAACTTCTCTCGGTACTATATCATACGTTTTTCCAAATCTATAAATACCATATACAGCTTTTTCTTCTTTTTCCTAAACTTTTCTATTTGTTGCCTCACACAAAATACTGGCTCCATTGTTGACTTTATCAGGCATAAATCCAAACTGGTTTTTAGATACCGATGTCTCATTTCTTATTCTCTTATCTATTACCTTTTCCTAAATTTTTATACTATGATTCATAAGCTTTATGACTCTACAATTTTCATACTTTTGTATATTTTCTTTACCTTTAAATCTACCAGCCTCTCGTTCCACGAGATATCCTCTAATGTCTCTTTTAGATACTCCTTATTCAGTAATATTTCAAAATATTTTTTCCACATTTTTTTCACATCATCATCACTCGATCCCTACTATCAACACTTTTTATACACCTTACATAATGATAATCTTTAGACGTATTTTCTCTTACTTTTGCGATTCTATGGACTTCTTTCTCGCCTTCCTTTGTACCTAGCCTATCATACAACTAATCATACCTCTTAAACTCCGCCTTACTTACTGCACACTTGGCTTCTTTCAACAAACGTTTATACTCTATTCAATCTTCTTTCTTTTTGCTCTTCTGTCATACTTTTCATTGCTTTTTCTTACTTTCTATGATTTTTTAAACATCCTCATTCCACCACCAGGTTTCCTTGTTTCCTAGCATTCTACTTCTATTCTTACCAACAGTCTATTTTGCAGTATTCTTTACACAACTAGCAAATCTATTTCACACATCATTTATGACATCCTCGACATTCCCACCGTTCTCTTATTTACTGCCTTTAAAAACTTTTTTTCATTTTCTCCTTTAATTTTTCACTACTGGATCTTTGTTTTTTATCCCGTGTTCCTTCGGTTTATGTATATTCTCTTACCACAACTCCTTTACCATCAGTCTATGTTGTGAAGTTACAATCTCACCTCATCCATCTTTCTCCAAAATACTTCCTTGTCTATTTCATCACGTCCTACTTGTAAAATTGTAAAATTGGTTTAAATAAAATAAGTATAAAATGTTATATAATCTGTCAGTTAGATATGTTCCACTATGTATATACTGCTGATCCTTTAAAAACTACTGATACCCATGTGGCAGACTATGCTAATGATAAAATATTGATTTCAGTACATAAAAACCATAACACTGCTGTTGTATAATTTTAATTACACCTAAACCAAATATATGTTTGGTTATATGTATAAAATGGTACGTTTTGATAAATGAAAATAAATCCTGTCATATTACTTTTATTCTCCGTTTTAACAATTTTCCACAAGTTTTTATAAATAATAATCCTACTTCATTAAAAATTAAATATCTGGCCTTACCCATGACAGTAAATTCAACTGGTCGCACCACATTCATTACAAAATATTAACTGTAAAGCGTCTTTTAATACTACAGCTACTACTCCATAAAAATTCCAAAACTTATCTGCTCACCAAAGTCGTAATAGCCTTATTAAATCAATATTGTCGTATGGTATTGAACTATGAGGCGAGACAAAAATTTCGAACATTAACAAAATTTAAGTTTTCCAATTAAAGTGTATTCAACATATACTCAACGATCCTCTTTACATATCAAATAAAATAATCTATAATGACCTCCAATTCATTACTGCAAAACAAACTGCTAACTTCAGATACAAATTTTTCCACAACTGACTCCAAAATCATCCGAATCCATCTCATTAAAACCCTATCCTCCCAAAAAATTTCTGATAATTCAACACAATGCCTAAAATAATATTGTAGTAGGAATCTATTTACATTATAAAAATAATTATGTTTTAACAGTTTTTTAATTTATTAGATTATTAAAGTCAGTGGGAGTCCTTCCACTGGGCAGTCTCTTCACAAGCTATTGTTTTTTTTTCAATAATATTATTTTCAGTAATAATATTTTATCATAAGTACTTATTGTATATTTTATTCAGATTGTATTTTTTTCCACAAAAAAAAAAAAATATCTGCCTGTTTAAAAGAAATAAAAAGACTAAAATGTGACATATCTAATATTTTCCTAACGTGTATAAATGCTTTAATCTCATCAACTCATAGATGTGTATANCGACAAAAATTTCGAACATTAACAAAATTCAAGTTTTCCAACTAAAGTGTATTCAACATATACTCAACGATCCTCTTTACATATAAAATAAAATAATCTATAATGACCTCCAATTCATTACTACAAAACAAACTGCTAACTTCAGATACAAATTTTTCCACAACTGACTCCAAAATCATCCGAATCCCTCTCATTAAAACCCTATCCTCCCAAAAAATTTCTGATAATTCAACACAATGCCTAAAATAATATTGTAGTAGGAATCTATTTACATTATAAAAATAATTATGTTTTAACAGTTTTTTAATTTATTAGATTATTAAAGTCAGTGGGAGTCCTTCCACTGGGCAGTCTCTTCACAAGCTATTGTTTTTTTTTCAATAATATTATTTTCAGTAATAATATTTTATCATAAGTACTTATTGTATATTTTATTCAGATTGTATTTTTTTCCACAAAAAAAAAAAAATATCTGCCTGTTTAAAAGAAATAAAAAGACTAAAATGTGACATATCTAATATTTTCCTAACGTGTATAAATGCTTTAATCTCATCAACTCATAGATGTGTATATTTTAAGATATTTTAATACTATATATTCTTGGTCCAACCACATAGTTTCTATGAAATAATTTTGGACAAAATTATTTGTTCATAAATATTTTATATTAATGATTTATTATTTATTTCCACCATAGATTCTAAAACTATAATTCATCACAATAAAGATATTTAAAAACATTTATAATTTCTTTTTACCTAAACTTTACTCCATAGCATTCACGTAAGGATAATTCGTAAATTTACTGTAAAATAGTATGTACAAATTGATATTTTATAAGTTTCATACTGTCTAATAAACGAATATTTTGTATATTTTAATGTTATTAGCTAAATATTTTATATTATGCTCTCTAATTGAATTATTTAGTATAACACAGATAAAAATGTGTATTCAGATTTATTGAATTTTTAACACTTACAATGGATAAAATAATTTTTCCTAAGTAAACAAAAAAAAATAAATAATATAATATTTGAAATGTGGATAAAAATTACAGAATAGAAATAGTGTCTTGAGTATATACTATTATTATTAATAAATTTTCATTTCAATTCTAATTGTTTCTTTTTATACGAAAAAGATAGTATTATCTAAAAAAAAAAATGTTATTTTATATTTTTATACCAAATATTTCTTGAAAAATTAAAGATGTAAACATTTTTGGCTAAAATTTAGTAATCAAATAAAAGCTTTGACTTTGGATGTATTTTTTAATTTAAACAAGTTATTTATTTCCTCGCTGTCAATGTTTACAGCCAAAAAAGATTCTAATTTCTACAAACCTATCTACTGCAATTTACTAATAACATATAAATAGATTAAAGCAAGCTATAGTTTATTCTATGAAAAGGTTAATACATTTTGTAGAGTTTAAAACCATCTGCTTTCTAAAATTAAAATGAGCTAACAACTTATGAAATGCATTCTAGTTTTATTGAATCAATATTTTACATAAAAATATTAATTTATCGAGTAAATTTATAAAATATTGAGATAAAAATCTTTTTTATATATTGTATGAAAATAACAAATATGAATATTTGTTTCATTTTTTAAATTATCTAATGATGGAAACTGATTAATATTTTATGTAAAATTTTCTATTAAGAGCTCAATAAAAATAATAATGCTCATACAAATTACGATATTATGATTATTTTTAGTGGTCATATTTAGGGAAAGATATTGAAGACTATAACTATATCATAACATACTTTGTAGATAATTATTTTACTTTACTTTTTCTTTTATGTATGTTTATTTTTGAAAACAATTAAAGGAATCCTTAAATTTCTAAAATTAAACAGATATATTAAACGTCTCAAAATATTTTTACAGGCAGTATCCGTTCATTTTCACAGGTTTCAATATTAAAAAACGTCTTTTAACAAACTAATTTTTATAACAAAATTTCGACTTAATACTTCAAAGATTATGTTTTTCTTTAACATATTTAATTTAGAAATATTTTTATGGTTGTATTCATCTAAAATTTTTGTGATCCAATTCAATAAAATAGTTATTATTAAATTTTAATTAATGAATGATAATAAATTTACTTTTTTTTATATAATTAATATTTGCTCACAACTAATTATTTTAAGATATTATGTAATAAATAATCATATTTATTTATATTAATATATATATATATATATTATTTGTATTTATATTTAAATATTTTAATGTTATTTCAGAATATTTATTTCATCAATTTTTATTAATTCATAGTAATATTTTTACCGTGTGAATTTTGTTTCGAGCAGTGATTTACATGCATCGTATACGATCCAACTCTAAATTAAGCGCAAAACATCCTTGGGCAAAATATGACAATCGACGGTTTAAAAATAAACGGCCCGCTGCCGTTCATTGGTATCACACAGATACCAGATAGACTTTTACGCGAAATACTCTTCTATCTGTACCTACCGAATGTGTTTTATGAATTTAATAATTTCATTAAATGATTGCAATTATTCATAACTATGTAAGAAAAGAAAATCATAAGCATTAATATTTATTCACATACCTAAATCTAGTTCTCTCGCACTCTCCCTTGATGGCCCTAAGTACTTGTCATGGTAGTTTTACCGGTTTCGAATTGTATAATCTAACAAGCACACACACACACAAACTTAACAAAACGAATAAACAAGCGACTAACACGGCGTTGGCGAGAGAACCTGATGAGCGTACACGCGACTTTTGATCCAAATCTTTGCAAATCAACAGTCTGTCATATGCTAAACAAGAGGGGATCGGTTTTACATGCGCAGTTTCGGTAGTAACATTGCAATGATCGGACAGTTATTTAAAAGTTTTCTGTTTATTCTTCTATATTTCTTCACTCGTCTCCTCTTGTCATTTCAATTTTCGAACATTACATCTACTTGTGAAGTACAAAAAACATATTGCTGCCAAATCTTATAAAACGTCTTTCTACTCTCGACGTCTAGCCTTTCCGTGACCGAACGACCGAAAGTCACCTACCTTAAGTTTAATAACATTGAACACGTAGGAGAAAATCACAGTTTAAAATTTGCAAACGCATGCCAAAAGAGTAATTAAAATAGTACGTGTGCTTTAAAAACATTAGTTTTCTAAAGTTTAAGACTTTAATTAATTTGCAATTTAAATTAATTTAATAAAACAAAAAAAATTGAAAAATTGTTGAATATATTCTTGAATAATTAATTCGTACAAAACTTCATCATTACACCACATGAATTCATTGATTTTTTTACNATTAATTTGCAATTTAAATTAATTTAATAAAACAAAAAAAATCGAAAAATTGTTGAATATATTCTTGAATAATTAATTCGTACAAAACTTCATCATTACACCACATGAATTCATTGATTTTTTTACGTTATTAAAAATAAAAAAAAACTTATAAAATATGATACAATAAGTAATTATTACAAAAATAAAGTATTATATTCTGTCCCAAATTTGTGTTTTGAAAAAACGAGTCAGCAAAAATCCAAATACTGGTATAGCTAGTCTTTCATCTTTACACATATATAACCAGTAACCAAACAAAATTAAAGAAATATTTCCAAAAAATTTTAAATACGAAATACTATTAATAGGAGGATTTTCTAAAAGAATCAGTTGATTAATTGTCGTATCTATTTCGTTATCTATAGTATGATATTCTTCCAAAATACTGTTTTCTTCCTTTTCCTCATTATTTATATTAAGTTCTTCTTGTGATATTTCTAAAATAATGGGTTCATCTTCAATGGCTGCCATTTTTAATTGATCGAAATCTAAGTAAGTTTTAGAATTTGGTTTGGAAGCGTTTTTGTTATAATTTTCAAGTATATTACTATAATGTTCGACTGTCACGCGATTTGTATCTTCAACTATTTTAGGAACATTATAATTTGGTATTTCACGTTCTGGTGACTTTTTAATACTACCAAAAACATCAGATTTCACAGTTTTTCTTTTGAAAATTGAATTGTTTTTCCCAGAAAAAGAAGGAACGATTATTTTTTTTAAAAAAGATTTTGGGCTATAATCACCACTAAATTCTGTAACTGTTATCACTGGTAGAGCTACATGATTGATTGACTCTTCTCTTTTTAGTATTTCAGGAGGAATAATCTCATCTTTCTTCCCGCAAAATTCAAATTGAAATCGGCTAAGGTTCTCACTAGATTTTATAACAGTAGCATTATTATAAAACGATTTTTCTAACATATTATAGTTTGGAATGCCATCTCTTAGTTGGGTATCAACGATTTTATCTTCATTAGAATATCTCTTTTTATTTCCTACATTTTCTATATTAAATTCACTTCTCCAATCCTTTTCACTTTCATTGCATTCTTTTTCTGTTTGGGAAATATCACCACTGCTTATTGATTCTGAATTTAAAGAATCTAATGAAATTTGTTCAGCCTTATCAACGTCTTTGGTGGGTGAAACTATTAATTCTCTATCGGATTTGTGATCAGATAAATAGTCATCATCGAAAATTGTAGAAAAGAAAATACTAGAAGTATTATGATCTAATGCTCTTTTTCCGCTCCCAAACTTTACAATACATTCATCACCACTTTCTGATTCTGAAGAGGAAGAATATATAAAATGCTTATTTATATCACTAGTAGATCTACTAATGGCTTCCAATGACAAATTAGATAACGAATAAGATGATTTCTCATTAATATCCTCAGTTTCATCTTCCAAATTATTCGCTAATGACAAAATGCTACTAGACTTAGAAGTTTTCACTTTATCAATAACAGTTTGTATAGAACCTGAATCACTTAAAATGGATTTTTCTTCTATTTCTTCTAATGATGATCTAGCCACCGGTAGTTTTAGTAAATTATTTTTTCTATCCATATTGTAAAGTGATATTTTATGAGCTTCTGATGAAGGATTTTCCTCATTATTATAGTCATTAAACCTGTTTAAGTTGCGTTCATAAAGAAGTTCACTTGAACTGAATGAATTTCTTATGTGCTCCTCAAAATCATCAAGTTCTGCACCGAGCTCAGGAGAAGAAAGCGACATTGGAGGTACGGTGCCATGATCAAAATTTGTTAAAAGTGAATTGTTTGAATTTCCTTAGAAAAAAATTAATTTCAAAAGATAATCATGTTTAATTGATTCATTTTTATCTCTTACCTTTTGCTTTGTAATTCAAAGACGTCTGGGGATTTGGCAGGCTACCAAAACTTATTTTAACACCATCCGCTTTTAACATTGGTGACAAGCCCCAATNGAACTTATTTTAACACCATCCGCATTTAACATTGGTGACAAGCCCCAATGATCTTTTTCTTCAATGGGTTTTTGCCACGCTTCAAATGATAAATCTGAAGATATGGAAGACAATGACTCGCATGTTCCAGCACTACTTGTGTCGGTCCAACGCTTTTTCTTCTTCCTCGTTGGTACTGGGGGTGATACTTCATCAACACTCAATTTTCTTGGTTTTAAAAATGGTTCTGGTGATTTTGATTTACGACCAAAATGTTCAAACATTTCTGTTTCTTTAATTTTTACGAGTTTCTCTTCATCCTCGGATAACAGTGTTGCACTATTTATTGGATTATAAACACTGTAAAAACATTATTATTAATAGACTTTAAATGAAACTTCAAATTTTTATTATAACGAACCCTTTTCTAATGTCAGGTAAAAATACTGCTTCAGATACTTCGCTAGGTAAACTAATACCATATGGATTTTCTGCTTTCACTCGAAAAGTATACTCTGAACCTTCCAATAAATCATCTAAAACAATTTTAAGCTGTCTGCTAGTAGCTGCTTTTAACCACATATCCCATCCAACCTTTAAAATATTTTAATAAAATAAAACAGTTAAGAAGCTTAAAAAATTAAAAATAATAATATCCCTTATTTTTAAAATTTAGAAATTCTGTGGAATTAACCCTCAAATTTATTTGTATACATATAAAAAGTGAATATAAAAAATTTTAGGCCGATCAGATAAATTTAACCTGTACCGAATTGAGGTTGAAAATTGGTCAAAAGGGAAAGTGTTTTAGATTTTTGCAATGAATTCATAAATTACTGCTCTAACAAAATAATTTATCATAATTAAATTTTAGATCTAATAATTAAAATTTAATAATTTGTCTTCTAAACCCATTAATTTTCCAGAAAAATGACAAAATACGTAATATTTTGTGAAATTATTGAAATTGGTATAACCTAATGTTTCATACAAATTGTTTAAAATTAAATTTTACAAAATAAAAGTAACAAGTAAAAATTTTTTATGAAGACTAATAAATTTGGAAGAAAAATTGTCAGGACTTAATTTATACAAAACAATTAGATCTATAATTTAGTTTAAATAATTTTTTTTTAGGAGTAGTAATCTACGAGTTAATTGCAAAAACCAAAAACCTACCCTTTTATCCAATATTCAGTTGGTATGAGTTAAACTTATCTGATCGCTCTGAAATATTTTATATTCTTTTTATATATATACACATAATATTGGGGAGTGAGCCCGAAGAGTTTCTAAAATTTAAAAAATAATGGACTATTATTACTATTTATATGTATATAAATATAATTACTCTGTTATATTCTACTATGTAACTTCCAATTTTACATCCACCGTCATCTTCTGGAGGTTTCCAGGAGAGCGATACCAATTTTCCAGTAGTTTTAGAAACTTGTACTTTACCAGGTGGTGATGGTCTATCTATGAAATTAGTTTTACTTTAGTAAATCAAATATTATAGAATATACAGAGTAATCGGTTTATCATAAACCACTCAATTATTCTCAAAAATAATATAATATTAAAAAAAATTTTTCGATTGTTATAGTTACATCAATTTCTTAATTTCTTAACTATTAATTACTTTTTAGGATCATCCCTTATAACGTATAAGGATCAACTTTATTTTTTTAATTGGTAACATACATATTTAAGTAACTTATATCAGAAAATTATCTAATTAAGAAAATAACGGATCCATAACAAATTTAGGACCAGGACTTGGATATTATTCTTTTTTTAGGTATTTTTATACTTAGGCGGAACGAAGAGTACGGCCGCGAAATATCTAATTATAAAACTAGCAGCACCCACTCATCACCTCTAGTCATTAATTTAAATTCATAATAACTTCCGGATAACTGATACGAAAGTTATTATCGACCAGACATTTTTTTAATTAGATCTTTTTCTATTTTTTAAATTGAAATAATATGAATGTTATCATTTAAAAATTTAAAGTTAAAACCATTATAGTTATAAGAGATGATTCTAAAAAATTATTATTAGTTGAGAAATCAAGAATTATATGTAACTAAAAAAAGTTACTATTTATATGTAAAAATTGTATTTATATTGCGAATGTTTGAGTGAGTTATGGAAACCAATTCATCAGCAATGTATGTATACTTTAAATTTAAGTTCATTAAAAACTTAAGACTCAAATTCATCATATATTCATTCTTTTCAAAAATAAGGTATGAATAAAAACAAAAATTATTTTAAAATTTATAAGGATTAATTCCAAAAGAATACTTTTGTTTACATAAATATTAATCCTATATATAGAATTATTATTTAAATTTAAATTTATTTATTTAATTACAATTACTTCTGATACTGTTTTATCGTTTTTTTTCATTAACTCATAAAAAACAAATATTCAATATATAAAATAAAATAAACTGTTTTTAAACTTATTTGTGCCCTTAAAATATGTTAAATATATGAAAAAAATGCAGTTTTAATTTATTCTAAATATAAGGTAAAATAACATTTTTTTATCTAAAAAAGGTAATTATAATTAACTACTAATGGTTAATGAAGATTGAATTATAACCAATTGTATCACATGAAATTTATGAAATAATGGAATTTAATTAAACTCTTTATCTAAATCAAGTAATTAACGTTAATATTTAAAATATTTAAACATTAGAATTTCTTTTAGTCTCATATTTCACTACTTTAATGATATCTTTATTAGATATCATAATTTGGATAATTTTCAATTTACACATATAACAAAGTACCCTCCTTATCTGTATAATATACAACTCATTTATATTTATTATAAAATTCATAGGTTTATCATTGTAATAATTGATTGTCATTAATTATAAAATACACAATGTAATAATAATTCAAATTATTAAAAGTTATATTTTTTCTTTAGAAATATACATTCTGTACAATGAGCACAATAAACATATATGAAAAGAGTAGAATAATTTACATGAATACATTTTGATGGAAGAAACCACTCATTAGTGACACTTCCCATGATTTTTTTTTATTTTTTATTTTTCTAAAATATTTATTTTATTTGATAAAAATTAATAAAAATAGTCAAAAAATCTTGATTAAAAAAAACAAGCCAATTAAGTTATAATTAAAGTAATAATAAATAAGTAAAACCAATTAGAAAAAGATAAATCTAATACGTGTATGATATCATTGAATTTATAATATTGTGTATAAAATAAGAAACAAGAATAAGATAACAAAATTGAAATAGCATTTTAACTGTAATTTGACTGTAGTAAAAAAAGAGGGTTATTATTTTCTTTTTATATGAGGAAAATTAATAATGAGTATGATAATTTGTAGATAAATTAGAAATACAAGAAGGAAAGTGCGAGTTAGTGGATTCAGCAATTGCATAAACGTGAACTAGGAATAGTAGGAGTTGTATAAGAGAGATAAGCCTAAGTAATTAGGTATTATCTAAGTTACGTCTGCGATGAAAGAAATTATGAAGGTATAAAACTTTAAAAACATAAGAATAGAGGGTATGAAATAATAAATATATAACTAACAAAACTAAGAATTTTAATTGGTGTTTATACAGTGACGAAAAAATTATCAATTATTTAAGGATTACTTTTTTATTTTGTTTATTATGAGGGCAAAATAACGACGTTGTGATGGCGTCAGTTTTCTATCTTACCGTCTCGAAATGGATTCTCATATACACTCAAAAATTGTTGCACTATTTATACATACAACTTTTTAAAAATAATAACAGTAATCAAAGATAATTTTCGAGCTATTGTTATAATAAATGTATTAAAAGCTATAAAAAATATATACCGGTTCAGTAAGTAAGGAAACTGGTCAATTGTTATAAGTAATGAGAACAATAAAGACCCGTTTCCTTACTTACTATATTTGTATTATGAATTAAATGTTTTATACCTGTCACTGTAACTAAAAACGAAGCAGTATGTTCTCCAATAGGATTCACCGCGTGTACCTGGTAACAACCTCGATCTGATCTTTTAACAGCAGCCAATTTTAATGCAGCGAATTTATCTGTGTGAATTACTTCATATCTATAGCATAAATATATCATTATAAAGTGATATATATAATCAAAAAAGCTTATAATATAATATTACATTTTTATTTTAACTTTACCTTTCACCACCTCGTATCTCTTCGCCGTCGTGCAGCCAAGTAATTTGTGGTAAAGGACGTCCTGCAACTGAAACCTTTAATCTCATAGGTTCATTTTGTTCAAGCAGTAAACCTTCTTCGTAATCTTGTGGTAATCGCACCATTGGAGGTGCTAATAATACATATGTCATTATTTAAATACATTTTCTATTGCACTAAAATTCAAATATTTATAAATATAATACCTTCAAGTCGCAGTCTAGCTTTAGTTACAGCATGACCAGCTCTATTTGTAGCCGTACATTTTATTTCGCCTTCATCGGAATACTCGGCCTGGTGAATATAAAGTGTACTAATACCATCTTCAGTATTAACTCTTTGTCGTCTATTGCTAAAAAGTTCTAAACCATCTTTATACCAACTTATTTTAGGAGCAGGTGTACCCACAAATTCCACTTCAAATTTTACCTAAGAAGTAATTTTACTATTACCAAAAGAAATTTAAAAAAATTACTTATAGATATGAATTTATGATAACTAAAGAACAATTAATAAAATAAGAGACTAATATATTATATGTATTAATTTTTCAAAGTTATGACATTAATAGTCTAATTGATCTAAATTATTTATACTTGTTCATTCTCTAAAGCTACGCGATCTTCAATACTGACGACAAACACCGGAGCTACAACAGCTGTTCTGTTAAGTGTTATCGTCACAGGATCTGATATTACACTTGGGGATGAAAATCCACGAGAGTTTGCAGCTTTTACTCTGAACTGATAACGCCATCCTGGTTCAAGTCCACCTAAGGTTAGTTGGGTTAGTGATACTTTTGATGGTGTAGCTTTTACCCAATGTGGCGAAGTAGTCCGTCGATGTTCAACAATATAACCTAAATAAAAAAAATATATAATCAATTTAATTTATTGAAAAATAAACTAGAAAAAAACATTTTTCTCGTAACAATTATTGTTATAATTAATTTTAATTAATTACTGTTGTTTAATTTTTGTATTAACTGAATTATTCACCAAATATACTCTTTGATGTCTTATAAATTGAGTATGTAGAAAATTTAGAGTACGTATTTTAAAATAAATTTTCATTCACGGCTGTAATAATCATATAATAAAAATTGATCTCTTGTGGCTAATTAATTAAGTAAAATTGAAACTATATTAAAAATATTATTAATATACTGACAGGTCAGTATGTGTTTAGCGTTGATAATGGTAACATTGTTTCCGAAATACGTATCCGCGACTTTTCATTAATTTTTTGTGGCTTTGAGTTTAATATTTTTAATATTTTTTAGTTTTTTAAATTAATAATATTTTTAATATAGTTTTAATTTTACTGTAATAATCAAGTTTTTTATTGCAATAATCAATCACTTTTTAAAACTGAAAATATCCCTGAAAACCTAAACACTGATAAAAAGCTATACATGTTACCAGTTATAATTTTTGTCAATGTAGTTACATATTATTCATAACGGTCGTTAAGCTAATTAAATATTTAGTTATTCTAGCTATTTTTATTGTTATTTTATATATTCTATTTTCCATTTGATTTTTTCAATCTTTTCAGAAAAACTTTTCTTTAGCTTTAACTTTAAAATTACATAAATAATTTCATAATAAGCCAAAGTAACCAAAGGCATTGTGAGATCATGCCAAGTGTCTAGGGATATTTAGTTGCATATCCGGAAATAAAAAATTAAAATTAGATCACTGCATGCCCTTCCATTTAAATTCCTTCCTACTTAAACAAAAATATAACTAAATAATAAGGTGTAACTACCTTTCTATAATAATTATATTCAATTAGAAATATATTTTGTATACCTAATAATATACATTTCACTCTCTAATAAGTATTCTATTTTTCATTTTCAAACAATGTTTTTTTTTTAACAAATTTTTTATCTTCAACTTTTTTTATAAATATTATCTCAAAATAGAATTTTAAATTTAATCAATCTAAATCAGTTCATACTACTTCTACTCTAAGACTTCTCCCTTGATCTAATGTTTCTCAAAAAAAGTACAAATGCCTCCTCCTCTTCCTCTGTAAAGTATCTCGGTCTCACATTAAACAAACGTCTCACGTGGTCTCATCATATTAAAATTAATCGCTAATCTTTGAATAACGGACTGCGATAACTCAAAGCATTAATCATAAACAATAAATTTAATGATATTTATAATAAACTTTTAATTTATAAAATCCCACATGGATTAATCGTTTACAGCTATGCTGAAAAATCCAATATTATTAAAATATAGCTATAAGAAAAATAATCTCCTTATATCTATAATTATACACTCCATGATAACGTTAACGCAAAAACTGTTCATGAAGAAGCCATTTAATTCTACAAAAGATTCCATAATACCTTTCAACCTTTCAACCTTGACAATACCGGAGACTCATCCAGACGTTTAAAGAGTAAATGGTCCCGTGATCTCTTTCCTAATAATATTATTTATTAATATATAATTAAGGAAATTTAAATATAAAAAGTAAAAAAAAAAATCATGGGAAATGTCACTAATGTGTGATTTCTTTCTTAAAAACTTTATTCGTGTAATTTTCTTTTTTACACTTTTCCAATATGCTTATTAGGTTTATATATCTTATCTAAATAAAAAAAATTAAATAAATATTACCTCTAGGTTGTTTAAATTCAAAACACAAAATTAAATGAAACATTTATCGAGTATAAAATAAATCTTAGATAACTATTCAAATGTTGCGAGTAAGAAGTACTGTTTTCAGACTACCTGAAATTTTATATCCTCCATCAAATTCTGGTGGTTTCCAACGAACCGTGACCACGTCTGGCTCTTGTGCTGATGAATCTACTACCAAATACGGTTTTCCGGGAGGTGTGGGTGGACCTAAGAGCAAGTAGAAAATTAATCTAAGGTTTATTATTTAGTAGTCAATTTTTTCTCAGTTTGTTGTTATTTGTGTTATTGTTATTTTACGAATTAAGTAGAATTAACAAACAATTAATTAATGAGTTTAAATACTATACTGCGTTAATTGTATGTGTACCGGGAATGTAATGATCAGGCAATAAATGTTTGTAAGGTGTGTCGTGTAGTTTGTGTTTACCGAGCGAAGAATGGGAGTTACCCATGGCGATGTGCCATTCACGAAGTTCCTGCGGCCGGACCGCTCATGTACCCGGAAACAAGACCGGACACCAGTGACTGAAGTTTTGAACTTTTTTACAATTAATAAATTATTAATATTATTAAACGGCTCGATCACAGTGTCTGCATGTTACAACAGCATTTTGTCACGACTAAGCATGTGACGTTGTTGTCAGGATCGACCGCGGAGTGCGTACACTAAAATAGAACGTACAACAGCTGTGGTCGCCGGGACTGAGATGACTTGGTACATCATGTAATATACATTTTAACATTAGAGTATCTTTTCCATAGTCATAAAAGAAGGGGAAACGTGGATATTTGCCAACAGTGTTGTTTTTTTCATTATTCATAAAATAGTGCATTAAACTATAACAATATTTGTTAAAAAATGATTGTTCGTAAAAATATATATATTATCATAAAGTAATAAGTATAATTTCCTCAACATCGTCTATTCAAAGGCTATATAAGACTCGTAATTAAATTTGATTCAAATTTCAACAATCTAGGAGAAGTGCCAACAATTAAAAATGAATACTGGCTCAATTCATACTCATTATTGAGTTGTACTAAGTTATGACGTTATTAAATGTACTAGTAGATTTACAATAATTTTGTAATATTTTTTTTTTTAATTGCTTTGCTAATTAATGATTTAAAAAAACCAAAATTTAATTTATGGTTACATAGTGTAAATTTTAATTTATTTAATCATTGAAATGAGAAGTATTTACGAGACTATGTTATACATGATTCAAATAAATCATTTTATTATGTTGGTAAAACTATGCGAATCATAAAACGGCCATAATATTATGATATTACAATAGCTATCAATAGCCATTTCAAGACTAACATAGTTTCACCAATACTGACGTACAATATTTTGATTCATGTAGTTTTATCGCATGTTTATCTAAGGTAGTTTTTATAAATCATCAACTATTTATCAAAGAATTTCACACCTTTTTTATTAATCAAATCACAACTAGTTAGTTACAGGGGCGTATTTAAAACACATTTTAAGAGGGATGATTTCATTTTTTTACTTCGGTAAGAAAAGGTCTTCAGATCCATATTTCGTATATATCAGGTTTAAAGATTATAAAAGCTTTAAAAATATTGATACCACTGGTAGTTAAAGCTTTATAAGGGTGAATAAATAAAAAAGCGTATCATACTAGTTCGGGATTTTCGATTTTAACCAAACTTTACCAAATCTTTAAAATATTTGCGATGATATTAAAAAGTACTTTTTTAAAAAAATGACTAGCTAAATTAGAAAGTATAGAAATATAATGAATTGACATACTGCCTACAATTGTCTTTTAACTTTAGCTTCTCAGTTTATAATATTAATTTAATTAATTATTAATTGCATAATGATCATTTATGTGCAATACTATGATATATTATATTTTCACAATGTATGAATATTGAAAAATACAATATAATTAAAATTTTTAATTGTTTGTAAATTTAATATTTTTAATTTAAATAAGCAATCATGCAGAATTAAAAAAACCTTTCCTAGTACTCCCCAAATTTGAATAAGACTTGACATTTTATATAATTTTTATTTGTGATGTTTACCAACTATGTGGTAATTTAACTATTACAATTAAAAAATTTTAAACATTAAACAACTATATTGTTGTTTAATGATTTCGTTATTGTAAAAAAATGTATAGATGCGATTCAAAACAAAACATTTGTGTACCATTTATACAATTTTATTTAGTTTAATTAATGTAATTATATAAAATGTTTTCCGTGAAAAATGCGTAAACTTTATTATATTTTTCCGAATCTAAGATCATCTCGACCAAAGAGTCAACTTGCCCTGCTCTTGTATAACCAACTCCTTTCATATACTAATACCTTTGTTGTCAATGAGAAAGGTCATATTATTTTTTGACTAACGAACGTCTACGTTAAAGTGTTTAAGTCATTTTATGTTTTAACTGGTAACCATTACGCAAAGGGAACAACGCCAAATATTTACGACAATCACTACAGTCTTTAATTAATTGAATAAATGTTGTGAGCTTTCCAAGAACACTTATTATAATACTCTTTTAACTTTTAAATAATTACGTCATCGAAATACGTCACACCAAAAATGTATTTTGTAGCATCAATACCGTCAAAAACTGTTTAACTTCAAAATACACTTCAAAACTGTTCAATTAGTTGTATACTTAAATTATAAACCTTTTTTCATTAGTATATTAGTTCATTAGTAGTTGTAGTTATAATTAGGAACATTAAAATAATTTTTTTTTAATTTTTGATATGTATAATTCTTTCTGAACATAATATTATTTATTATTACAACATTAGAGAAGACTATTATTTTCGTATTACAATAGCTAATGAATATGTGAATTTTGCACAAAAAATTATTATGAAATGTTGCAGCTGACTTAAGTAAAGAAAAAAAGTATAATGTTAATAATCAATTTGATGGTTTTTTGATAATTTATCTTTGTTTTCTTTCTTGAAAGCTTGATAGTAGTCCAATACAAATATATAATGTAATCTGTAGAAATGTATACTATTTGTAAAGGCATAACGCGTGGGAATTTTCACTGACATACAACTGTTGTGTTATCTTTAGAGAAGAATCCCAATAATGGCCTCAGGCAATCAAGTTTTGTGAAATTCTGCAGGAGAAATGTCCAAGTATAATGGAACTATTATAATACGTGGAAATAGTTTTTCTTTTGCAGAAATATTATCCAACTACATTTAACCATTGTGCATTGTTAAATAAAAAATAAATCTATCATTGAAATTCAACGAAATCATTTAATTTTAATTGAAGTCTCTTCCTTAGATACGATTTAATTAAATAACACTGAAATTTATTTTATAACGCCAGACACGTATTATGGACCTGGACCTGGTTTACCGGTCTCACACAGTAAATTGGTTAGGTTGGATTGGGTTTGTTTCATAATCATATTCCCGTGCCCTCTGACCGCAGCCAGTACGGTAAAACACACGGTGTCATCAGTCTGTAAAACATCACATTATACTACGTACTGTCGAAAATGTTTTCAAATAAAAAACATTTCCTTCAAATGCTTTTGGTGATATTTGTTTATTAAGTAGTGACTAGATTAATCATTTTATTGGCTGAAATTATAACAACTGTAAATGACATGGCTGTCTTCTGCCGCAGTATTTCGGCCAAACAGTTCGTATTGTTACAAAGTCCCAATGCGGCCATTGTGCCAAACACGCTGATTGTTGTGAGGGTGCGGCTGCGGATTACAGGCCAACGGGGTAGCTGTTAGATAGGGGACTTTATTATGGAGAGCGTGGCAAACTGAAGGGGAGGCGAGCAGAGGTACAAAGTAAACAAGACGACCCCGCTAAATAAACACCGCGATCGCATAAAGCCGTCAAGCCGCAACATCGCAACTGTTCCGAATAATGGGTGCCCGTTTCCCCTACATCAACGAGTGTAACCCACCCTCGGTGTTTTTTTAACCGACCGTATTAATTTGATTGGTTCTATTAAATAATTCAACACGATATACCCATCTATATTATATTGTGATGATAACATGCGATACGAACAATGTGTACGTTAACGTTATTTTTTCCGTACTACTTATAGCCCAAAAGGTTTTTTGTAATACTTACAAAAGGGATAGTAGGTAATTGTATTCCGCAAATATGTAATATTTAAATACTTGTATCGAAAATAATCTCTGGGTACGATCATCTCTACCTTTCGATAACCTCTTGGATTTAAATCCTTCAATAGGTTTTTCTGTTCATGGAAAACATTCACCCAAAATTAAAAAAAAACTCAAACGTAGTGTAACATTTAAAAAGTTAACCTATATTATAATTAAATTATTTTTATACAAATTAAATACCATTAATTGTAAAAGTATTAGGTAAAATAAATCTAAAATAAATAAAACTTTGTTTTTAAACTTTAATAATTTTAAAAGTACTTTATTAAAAAGTAATAAAATATTTATATTTTAAAGTTTAATGAACATAAATAAAACGTATTTTTGTAGAAATTGTTTCATATAGTGGTGATATTTACAAACTCTTTAGGAAATAAAAATTATAATTCAAATTATTTTTTTTATATTTTATTAGTGTTTTATAAAAAAAAAAAACTGTAAATGATTGTTCAGAGTTTTTTTTTTAACTTAAAGGTATTATATAAATTTTCAAAATCACTACTACAATCAATTATCATTCTTTAGTTATAGATACAACAAATTATTTTCAAAGTATTATAAAAAATATTTGACTAAAATAATTTCTAATTATTAGATTAAAGCTTACACATATGTTAATAAATTAAACAAGTTAAATTTATTGAGAAAAAATGTAATATTAGAAAAAGAAACGATTTAAATCTCTGGTTGCATTTATTGTTATTTAAGTTTGTAACCAATTTATTAATTTTCGGAATTATATTATTTTATTTGTAAAAAAGATTTCAGTTTTCGTTTTATGTTTACACCTGCTAAAGTGAATACGTTACATTTTATTCAATTAAACAATGAACTTATATAAAACGTATTACATATTTGTGTTAATTAGTCAAATATTTTATTATTGACTACGATGAACGGTAAAATATATTTGTAGGAAGTAAATTTTTAAGATTTGCTAGACTTCCATATGATAGAACATAGTGAATTTAGTTCAAACAATTTTTATGATCTGTAAAACTTGTTCACTTCTAGCAAAACTGAATTATGCAATTAACGTCAACGTTCTGTAGAATCATTTTATCAACTTACAAGCGATCTGGCCAAGAAAATTCTTTAATGGCATCAGTTTGGAAGGATAAAATATTGTAATTATTCAAATATTTTTCTTAATATAAGTAAAATCATCGGAAAAAAAGATAAAACATAGTTTTCCAACATTTGCATTTATAAGTTAATAAATATATTTATGAATCACTTACTTCTCATAGATTTGAAATGATTACCCACATTTTAAATTATAATTGACAATCACATTAAAAACGTATTTGATTAGATATATTACAAAATGAAACATCTCTAAATATATACACTGAATCTGAAATGTAACCAAATCATAAATATGACTTATTTATAAGACATTTTAATAATATTGTAATATTTTTTTACTTTTGTAATATATTCATGTTAAAAGGTTTACGGTTTGGGATACAGCCTATTAGATGAATAATGAAATAAATTATTAAATGAATAAACAACTAAAGTCTTTTATTGGCTGAAAG